AAGAAAATCTATGTATCTTAATTTAAAATACCTTATTGCTAAAAAAAAAACAACAAAAAACGCTAGTTGTCATCTGTCTCCAAACTGGGGCCTGCAGTTTTCCCTGTGTCCTTCCCCTTTTTAGGGTTCCAAGAAGAGTGTTGATTTTTCAGTCTGTTTAGCTTTTTATGTGCTGCTAGGACAGTGACAAATTCCAAGCCCCTTACATGTAGAGCCAGAAACCCACAGTCCCTCCTTTTTTTTAAAAAAAAAGGTTTTTATTATATAAAGCACATAACATAAAACTTATCATCTTAATCACTTTAAAGTATACAGTTCAGTGTGTTAAGTATATTCACATTGTTGTTAAACCAGTCTTCAGAACTTTTCATCTTACAAAACTGGAAGTCTAAAGAACAATATAAATGAAGGAGCAAAACAGGAACAGACTCGTCAATACTGACAACAGACTGATGGTTGCCAGAGGAAAGGGGGTTGAGGACAGTGAAAAAGGTGAAGAGATCGAGAAGTACAGATTGGTAGTTACAAAATAGTCATGGGGATGTACAGCATGGGAAATACAGTCAATATTATAATAATCTTGTATGGTGCCGGGGGGTACTGGAAATATCGGGGAGAACACTCTGTAAAATATATGATTATCTAACTACCATGCTGTACACCTGAAACTAATACAAAATAATATTGAATGTCAACTGTAATTGAAAACTTTTTTAAAAAAAGAAAATCTAGACCCATTAAACAATACTTATCCTATGTCCCTCACCCTAACCCCTGGTCACAACCCTTCTACTTTCTGTTTCTATTTGATTACTTCAGATACCCGCTGTGACTGCTAACGCTTCCCAATGTTCCCAAGATTTATCCATGTTGTAGCATATAACTGGTTTTCTTTTCTTTTTAAGGTTTAATGCTATTCCATTGTGTATACATATCATATTTTATTTATCCATTTATCTATCAGTGGACATTTAGTTTGCTTCCACCTCCTGGCTATTGTGAATAGTATTGCTGTAAACATGGTGTACAAATATCTCTTCAAGACTCTACTTTCAGTTCTTTTGGATATATGCCCAAAGTGGGATTGCTGGATCATATCGTAATCCTATTTATAATTTTTTGAGGAGCTATCATAATATTTTCCAGTGTTTCCACCAATTTGCAATCCCACCAGAAGTACAAAAGTATTTCAATTTCTCTACATCCTCACCAACACTTATTAATTTTCTTTTTCTGTCTTTTTTTATAGTATCCATCCTAATGGGTGTAATTTCTCATTGTTTTGATTTGTTTTTCTCTCCTGATTAGTGATGTTGAACATCTTTTCATATCCTTGCTGGCCATTCGTGTATCATCTATAGAGAAATGTCTGTTCAAGCTCTTTGCCCATTTTTAGACGTTTATTCTTTTCCCTATGTTTATCCTTTCTTCAACATTTTTTCCTTTTATTGACTCTCCCTCCAATTCCGCTTTCCCATATTTTCATCCTCTACTAATTCTGCTGCTTTTCCTGCTGATTCTTCATCTGTTGCTTCTCCCTGTGCTCCTCCTTTCTGTAGCTGTTTTTCCTCTTGATGACTCTGTCTCCACTTCTTTCCCATTTTCAGCATTTCCTGATTCAGCTACTTTTCAGCCAATATTGCTCTATATTTCCTTTTTATGTTTCTCTTTCCTGTAGCTGTTTTTCCTATTGCTGGCTCTATCCTCACTTTTTTTTTTTTTAATCCTTTCAGTGTCTGCTAATCTTGCTACTTTTCCTTCCTCTGCTTCTCCTTTCCCCGTGCCTTCTCCTTTCTGCAGCTGCTTTCCCTTTGCTGACTCTGTCCCTGCTTCTGCTTTCCAGTTCAGCGTCTGCTGACTCTGCTACTGATTCCGCCTCTGCTTCTCCTTTCCCCGTGCCTTCTCCTTTCTGCAGCTGCTTTCCCTTTGCTGGCTCTGTCCCTGCTTCTGCTTTCCAGTTCAGCGTCTGCTGACTCTGCTACTGATTCCGCCTCTGCTTCTCCTTTCCCCGTGCCTTCTCCTTTCTGCAGCTGCTTTCCCTTTGCTGGCTCTGTCCCTGCTTCTGCTTTCCAGTTCAGCGTCTGCTGACTCTGCTACTGATTCCGCCTCTGCTTCTCCTTTCCCCGTGCCTTCTCCTTTCTGCAGCTGCTTTCCCTTTGCTGGCTCTGTCCCTGCTTCTGCTTTCCAGTTCAGCGTCTGCTGACTCTGCTACTGATTCCGCCTCTGCTTCTCCTTTCCCCGTGCCTTCTCCTTTCTGCAGCTGCTTTCCCTTTGCTGGCTCTGTCCCTGCTTCTGCTTTCCAGTTCAGCGTCTGCTGACTCTGCTACTGATTCCGCCTCTGCTTCTCCTTTCCCCGTGCCTTCTCCTTTCTGCAGCTGCTTTCCCTTTGCTGGCTCTGTCCCTGCTTCTGCTTTCCAGTTCAGCGTCTGCTGACTCTGCTACTGATTCCGCCTCTGCTTCTCCTTTCCCCGTGCCTTCTCCTTTCTGCAGCTGCTTTCCCTTTGCTGGCTCTGTCCCTGCTTCTGCTTTCCAGTTCAGCGTCTGCTGACTCTGCTACTGATTCCGCCTCTGCTTCTCCTTTCCCCGTGCCTTCTCCTTTCTGCAGCTGCTTTCCCTTTGCTGGTTCTGTCCCTGCTTCTGCTTTCCAGTTCAGCGTCTGCTGACTCTGCTACTGATTCCGCCTCTGCTTCTCCTTTCCCCGTGCCTTCTCCTTTCTGCAGCTGCTTTCCCTTTGCTGGCTCTGTCCCTGCTTCTGCTTTCCAGTTCAGCGTCTGCTGACTCTGCTACTGATTCCGCCTCTGCTTCTCCTTTCCCCGTGCCTTCTCCTTTCTGCAGCTGCTTTCCCTTTGCTGACTCTGTCCCTGCTTCTGCTTTCCAGTTCAGCGTCTGCTGACTCTGCTACTGATTCCGCCTCTGCTTCTCCTTTCCCCGTGCCTTCTCCTTTCTGCAGCTGCTTTCCCTTTGCTGGCTCTGTCCCTGCTTCTGCTTTCCAGTTCAGCGTCTGCTGACTCTGCTACTGATTCCGCCTCTGCTTCTCCTTTCCCCGTGCCTTCTCCTTTCTGCAGCTGCTTTCCCTTTGCTGACTCTGTCCCTGCTTCTGCTTTCCAGTTCAGCGTCTGCTGACTCTGCTACTGATTCCGCCTCTGCTTCTCCTTTCCCCGTGCCTTCTCCTTTCTGCAGCTGCTTTCCCTTTGCTGACTCTGTCCCTGCTTCTGCTTTCCAGTTCAGCGTCTGCTGACTCTGCTACTGATTCCGCCTCTGCTTCTCCTTTCCCCGTGCCTTCTCCTTTCTGCAGCTGCTTTCCCTTTGCTGTCTCTGTCCCTGCTTCTGCTTTCCAGTTCAGCGTCTGCTGACACTGCTACTGATTCCGCCTCTGCTTCTCCTTTCCCCGTGCCTTCTCCTTTCTGCAGCTGCTTTCCCTTTGCTGGCTCTGTCCCTGCTTCTGCTTTCCAGTTCAGCGTCTGCTGACTCTGCTACTGATTCCGCCTCTGCTTCTCCTTTCCCCGTGCCTTCTCCTTTCTGCAGCTGCTTTCCCTTTGCTGGCTCTGTCCCTGCTTCTGCTTTCCAGTTCAGCGTCTGCTGACTCTGCTACTGATTCCGCCTCTGCTTCTCCTTTCCCCGTGCCTTCTCCTTTCTGCAGCTGCTTTCCCTTTGCTGGCTCTGTCCCTGCTTCTGCTTTCCAGTTCAGCGTCTGCTGACTCTGCTACTGATTCCGCCTCTGCTTCTCCTTTCCCCGTGCCTTCTCCTTTCTGCAGCTGCTTTCCCTTTGCTGGCTCTGTCCCTGCTTCTGCTTTCCAGTTCAGCGTCTGCTGACTCTGCTACTGATTCCGCCTCTGCTTCTCCTTTCCCCGTGCCTTCTCCTTTCTGCAGCTGCTTTCCCTTTGCTGGTTCTGTCCCTGCTTCTGCTTTCCAGTTCAGCGTCTGCTGACTCTGCTACTGATTCCGCCTCTGCTTCTCCTTTCCCCGTGCCTTCTCCTTTCTGCAGCTGCTTTCCCTTTGCTGGCTCTGTCCCTGCTTCTGCTTTCCAGTTCAGCGTCTGCTGACTCTGCTACTGATTCCGCCTCTGCTTCTCCTTTCCCCGTGCCTTCTCCTTTCTGCAGCTGCTTTCCCTTTGCTGGCTCTGTCCCTGCTTCTGCTTTCCAGTTCAGCGTCTGCTGACTCTGCAGCTCTTTCTACTGAATCTAACCGTTCTTTTCCTTTCCTAGTGATGCTTTTGTTTTTGCTGATTCTGCTGATGTTGATTTCCCCTCTACTGCTCAAGTTGTTCCTGCTACTTTTGCATCTCCTTCTTGGTCTTCTATTTTTCTATCCATTATTTCTGACCTTGTAACTTTACTTTTACATGACCCTTAATGGCTACTCCAGTCCTCACTGCCTATGGCCTTCCTTATAACTGTTCCATGCTTCATTTTTTTTTTTTTCAATTTCAATTTACTCCCCAACCTAAATAAAAAGGATATAATATTAAGGTCATGGTACTGTGTCATAGATAGCTGGTTAACCTACGGATTAGCTATTACCTTAGATGTTCACCTCTGGAGCAGTCGGCCATGGCACCAGCTGAGGAGTAGAAGGGCGAATTACATGGCGCAATACAAGCCCATTTAGGGCCACAGGGACTTAAGGTAATCCACGGTCTTTAAAGGGAATGTGCCTGAGTTGGCAGTAATTGTCTCCCTTTATGGAAGTGAATTGAGCAGTGAGGCAGTAATGTAGAGAAAGTTAATCTTTTTAGAAAGCTGGGTGAAAATACATGAGAAAGCATGGAAGACAGCTAAGCAGTTATGTCAGATATTCCTATCCAGACAAGAGGGAAAGCCTGGAAACAAACAAGAGAGAGAAGAATAGAGGGAACAAGATTTTGTAATAAACAGGGTTGAGATTAAGAGCACAAGATTGAAGGTTAGACCATAATGGAAGATGTGATACCAAATCCCTTTGAAGTGAGAAGAACAAGGAGGGAAAGTTGAACTGTTTTATTGTTTTCCTTTCTGTTGCAGGTCCTGAATCTGTGCCGCCTTCCCTTCTCAAGGTGGTGATGAAACCCATAGCAACAGTTGGCGAAAACTACCAGTACCCTCCTGTGAACTGGGCTGCACTGCTCTCTCCACTTATGAGGTTAAACTTTGGTAAATATCAAGTGTTTTTAGGTCTTTGGACTCTGATTTTATAGTGCGACCTGGGTAGAAAAATGGATTTTGTGTCTCAGGTGGCACTGACAGGATAGACCTTTGGGATTTTGAGGTTTGGCCTCCTGCATGGGACCACTGGATTGCTTTCACTGGTCACTGGGTAAACAGTTGAGAGTGAGGAGGAGCAGGTCTGCAGACACGGACAGATGCAGAAAGATGTGCTCATCAAGATAATACTTAACTGTGACGTGTTTGTTGTTGGGCATGTGTTGCAGGCACCAAAAAGCCAGGTTGGATGTTTATTAAACTGTACTTCCAGAGCCCTGTGTTTCCAGAAAGCAGCCAATGGGATGCTGTAGCAGTTTTCCATTGCTGCTGTAACAAATTACCACAGACTTAGTGGCCTGAGCCAATGCAAATTTAGTTACTCATCTTAACAGTTCTGTGGAACACAAGTCCAACATGGTTCTCTCTGGGCTAAGACCTAGGTATTGGCAGAGCAGCACCATTTCCTAGATGTTTTATGGGGGTGCTATGGTCTGAACATCTGTGCCCCTCCAAAGTTCATATGCTGAGACCCTAACTTCCGGTATGATGGTACTAGGAGGTGGGCCCTTGGGAAGTGATTAAGTCATGAGAGTTGGAGCCCTCATGAATGGGATTAATGCTCTCAGAAGAGAGGCCCCGCAGAGCTCCCTGGCCCTGCCGCCATGTGAGGGTGCAGTGAGAAGTTGGCTGTCTGCATCCCCAAAAGGGGCCTCACCAGAGCCTGACCATGCCGGTGCCCTGATCATGGAATTCCAGCCTCCAGAACTGGGAGAAATTTCTAAAAGAAATTTCTTCTGTCTGTAAGCCACTCAGTCTGTGGTATTTTGTTACGGCAACCCAAACAGACTAAGATAGAGAGAATCTATGTTCTTTCCCTTTTCTAGCTTCTAGAGGCCTCCCGTATTCCTTGGTTTGTGTCTTCTCGCCCCCTCTCTATCATCAAAGCAAGCAGCAGACGGCTGGCCTTCTCATGCTGTCATCTTTCTGGTTCTCTGAAGCTGGACAAGGTTATCCATGTTTCAGGGTTCATGAAATTAAACGAGTCCAATTGAATAACCCAGGATAACTGCCCCATCTCCAGGTCATTAAATTTAATCACATCAGCAGAGTTCCTTTGCCATGCAAAGTGACATATTCACAGGTTCCAGAGATTAGTATGTGGATATCTTTCGGGGCCATTATTCTATCTACCACAGGTACTTTGTGGTGAGGAGCATGCCTTCCTCCCTACCTCTAATCCATACACAGCAACCTCTTTTATGGACTTAGCATACACAAATTTAACTTCATGTACTTGCCCATCACCCTCCCCCAAAGAGAGAAAGGGAGAGAGAGAGAGAAATTTTAACAATGCTGCGGTTGTGGGTGTTTGGGTGTATTTGTCATGAGTGCTAATTTTTATAGTAGGGTGTTTACTTATATAGAATACATAGAAAGATCTGTATACTATAATTTATGTTTTAAAGAGTAATCAAAGATAATTTTAACTTTACACAATTTTTTATTTAAATGTTTTCATTTTAAACTAACCCCAATATAAGATATGATGTTACTGTACTGTGTTATCAGAGATGTCATTTGAAAAATAAGTCTCCCTGGCCCTCGCCTGCTTTTTCGTGCTTTATTGACAAAGTTTCTGTATTAGTAAACTCCTCAGAGAAAAGAAGAAAGTATGTCTGCTGATGGGGATCAGACTGTTAAAAAGACTCGATCACTACAGAATGTGGCTACATCTTTCAGCCCTTCCATGTCTAGGCAGGTTTCTCTCTATGCTGAATGCAAGATTGAGAGGAGAGGAAAGCAGAGGCAAAGAGATCTTTAGCTAAAATTCACTCAAAGTTTTAATAAGCATTTGAGTGTTTCAGTTTATCTGGATATCGTAACAGATATTACCCCAGCTAGCTCAAGGCCCTTGTCAGTCATAAGACTTGGTATTGTGACACCAGTGGATACATTCTTTCACCTCATCTCCAGAAGGTCTCTTGAAATACCTCTTGGTTTCCTGAAGTTCTGTTACCTGTAGAAGTCACAAAGCAGATGCCTTGTTTTGAGACACTGAAGGCTAAAAATCAGAGAAGCAGCTACACTATATACTCTTTTTCTTTCTTCTCTTTTAGGTGAAGAGATACAGCAACTATGCCTTGAAATTATGGTGACTCAGGCACAGTCATCCCAGAATGCAGCCGCACTGTTGGGACTGTGGGTGACGCCGCCGCTGGTCCACAGTCTTAGTGTACGAAGTAACTGAGGGTGCTGGGCCACAGGAGGGTATGGCTCTTTGGGGGAGGTTAATATTTATTTGGGTGTGCATTCTCAGAGTCAAGAGTGGGCAAGTGGGATTTTAGAAGAATTGAGGGTATGACAGTAACTGGCTAGCAGAGAGGAAAATTGTGAGATGGAGGCCTCTGCCATCGCTGTCGCCATTCATGCTGTCAGCTCCCATTTACTATAAAAAGGGCAAATGAGGGTCAGAGATATTAAAGTTCCCTTTTCAAGTTCATGCAGCTAGAAAGTTGTAGAGTTATTGGAGCCTAGGTTTATTTGTTTATATGATATACGTAATCATTTCGGTAGGTATTAAGAGGGACCAATCCACATGTACAGCATAGATGATTCCCCCTTTTCACAGAAAAGACAGCAATTAAAGTGAACCTTGAAGGCTAGGCATCAAGTTAGAGACACCAGGGGATAGAACATCTCTGCTAGGGTGTTCAGCTTCAACGCAGTGCTGAGAAAGTAGTGATCTAGCCTGTCACTTATTAATTACCTTGTGTCAGGGCTAATAATGCTTGTTTTTCAGTTGTACTCCTTTCTTCATTCCAAAGGGATGAAGGAAATGTTCCATGCGTCCTTAGAGGTTTGCCAATGGATAATAAGTTAAATGACCTTATCTTTGTTATTCTTCTATTCTAGGAGGCTTTAATTCTTTGAGAATACTGCAAAGCCTTCCTATTATTTCCTCATACTGTTGGCTTCAGCCCCTATTCATTTTTTTTCCTTTAAGCTTTCCTGTGTCTCCTAATACTTTTTAACTGAAGGTCGATGTTATTGATGTCTGCATCCTTTCTGTCAGCTTTTATCATTGCCTGTCTGCTCCAAGCAGCTCCCATCTAGCTACCACTTAATGAGCGCATGCTATGCACGGCTACTTATAAGCACTGAAGGAGCACTTTCAGACATCAGATTAAATCTCTTCAACCCTGACAGGCTGACTTTTCTTGCAGCTTTACTGAGTTATAATTTATATTCCATAAAGTATAGCCATTTTAAGTGTAATTTGAGTTTTAGAATATTTATACATTTTCATCCATCACCAAGAATACTTCCATTGCCCCAAAGGTTCCAATGTGCCTACTTGTAGTCAATCTCCACTCCCAGCCTTAGACCCAGGCTAGCACTGATCTGTTCTTTGTCTCTGTAATTTTACCTTTTTAGAAGAACTTTCATATAAATTTAAATTTCCTATAAAGCTTAGAAATTCTGTAGAATGGAATCGTATAATATGAAGTCTTCTATGTCTGGCTTATTTTACTTCTGAGCAGTGTATTTTGTTATTTTCATTTTACAGGCTGATAAACTGAGGCAAAGTTCACATATCTAACAAATGGAAGGGAGTCTAAGGGACCCCAAAGCCTATGTCTTGAACACTATGCTATTAACTCCCTGCTTTCGAATCAGGTGTAACTCTCCCAGCCTATTTTGTTGACCTCAGAAATTGTTCTAGGTTTTAGTTTTCTTCCTGTCTCTCTTTCAGATCTGTGCTGCTCTTTTGCATTTGTCCTTGATTATGGACCTTTCAAATTATCTTTGTTAATTAATAAATTGAGTTTGTGAATTCATTTTCTTAATTTTAAACCTTCTCATTAAAAAATATTCTGAAATGGTATAATTCTTTAAAGTGAGCTCTCATACAATAACACCGATCTTAGATATTTACTGATTTTTGTCAGATTTTATTTTTTTATGCCACTTCTTTTAGACTTGCGGTTTATTTAGCATCATACTTAATGTTTACAGGAAGTTTTGAAGCTTGCTGTCTTAAATTCTGTGGCCCAGAACTGTTGTTAGCCGTGCCCTTTCTTAGCTCTCCTGAGCTCTGAGATGCCGTGGTCAGTTTCATGTGCTCAGCTGGCTCTTCTTTGGTCAGAAGTGGACTCAGCATGCCAGTTCCTCTTATTTCCCTGTGCTTCCTCAGAAGGAGTTATTAGTAATATCAGAGACTCTATTTCGTTTATTTCCAGCAGAGGAGCCTTTCATCTTCAGGAGCTTTTCTCGACAGAAAATGTGACCTGTTAGGACTGAATAGCAGCAACTGTCATGTGTTTCAGAAGTAGCGTTTTACTCCCCTCACTGAAAAGATCCGAGGTTTAAGCTGAATAGTTTACGGATGGTGTGGCCGATACCATATACACACGTGAGTCAGGCTGGTCAGAATGACTGCAGCAGCCAAAGTTCCATGCGCTGGTGGCCCGTTGGACCCCGAGGCTGTGGGAAACTGAGGGGCATCTCTGAGTCTACTCAAATGCAGTGACGACCTGCAAGTTCTGAGCGTTGCAAATTCAGACTTGCCTGTTTACATCTGACCTCTTGTGTTTTACTTTCAGCTGAATAGCAAGAAATATCTCCTGGTATCTGCACCTCTGTGGATCAGACATGTCTCCGATGACCAGATCCTGGGTTTTGTTGAAAACTTGGTGGTGGCAGTGTTTGAAGCAGCTTCCCCACTCTCCAGTCGTGAGTTGTGCCTGAGCGCCCTGCAGGGTCTGAGCCAAGCTGTGAAACTGCCCAGCCCTGCCCACCACCTCTGGAGCCTGCTCTGTAAAGCTACTGGGAAAATTTTTGACCTTCTTCCAAGTAAGATTCGGGTGAGGAACAAAAATATTTACATTCCTGACAATTTGTGTTTGGGATTTTTAAAGCCTTTCTGGCACGGCAGGGAGGTGTATGTTTTAAGAATGTGGTGGGAAGGCCAGCAAGAAATAACCACGTTCTTCACGAAGAATGTGTTTGTTTCCAAGATCTAAATTGAGGTTGAATATTTAGAACCAAAGTCTTGAGCAGAATCAGAGGCCAGTTAACCAGTGCAACACCAGGATGTTTGCTCTTAGGCCTTTTACCAAATGCCTGTAAGAGTTGAGCAAACTCAGAAACCCTTACAGCTTTACAGCTGGCGAATCCCTGAGCATGATTTTCAATGTACTATTCATATAATATAATACAAGCCTCCGTGTTCCCCCAAAAGACCCATGAATTGTAGTTTTACAAAGATGTTAATAATCCATTTGTAATGATGGATCCTGATGAGAATAAAGAAAGAACAGTTAAACAAATACACAAAATAACAGGAAAAATATTTGTTTTTGTTTTAATGAGAAAGAATGGCCACATGTTAAAATTAAAATCTCGCTCTGGCTGGGTGGTTCAGTGGTTGGAGCATCGTTCCATATGACAGAGGTTGTGGGTTTGATCCCCAGTGGGGGCGAGTATGGGAGGCAACTGATCAATGTTTCTCACTTTGATGTTTCTCTTTCTGTCTCCCTTTCTCTCTAAAATCAATAAAAACATATCCTTGGGTAAGGATTTTAAAAACAATTAGCGTCTCACCAGTTGCTGTTTGTGGAGATAACCAAATCTAATAATTTGTTGGAACATTAAGACTATACCTACCTTACATTGTATTTAACATACTTGTTTTTTCTTTATCAGAGAAATGATTTAGAGCTTTATATCAGTGTAGCAAAATGCCTCTCGGAAATGACAGATGATGAAGCCAATCGGGTTGCCCGGGTTACTGAGGTAATAACATAACTATGTCTCTTTTCATTATTGAGGTGGGAATTACAGTTGAAGAGGTGATTATAGTATCCTTTTGGTTGAATCTAGTTTTGTTTCCTACTTGTCACTGATAATTTCAGAAACCTGTTTCACTCTAGGTCTTGTGTCCAGCCTGGTAGTATGGCTGATTCTTAACTGTTTTAACCTAATTAACCCCACTTTATTAAGGACAGTTTAGTGTCACCTGCGGGCAAAAGTACAGGGCAATGCCTTCAATATAAAATACACAAGAATGGGAATATTCTGCCCAAAGAATTTCTGGTACATGGAAGGCACAAATAGTTCAGGTCTCACATTTATCATTCATCACCTGATATTATCCTTTTGGAATAAAGAAAGGTGTCTGACTGAAAAACAAACACCATTAGTTGACACAAGATAACTAACAAGTACCCTCAGACCCATGCTCAGTCAAGTGATGAGTGAGCAAAAAGCATATCTGTAAATTTGCCAGAGTTTGCAAATATGGCTTGTTAAATTAGAATTGCAGGTAAACAATGAATAATTTTTTAGTATAAGTACATCCCAATGGACATACTTGTTCAAATGGCAACCCCATTTACAAGGTAATATCAAAGTTCTGTAGAACTGTGAGCCCTCAATAGCTGGTGGACATCTTATTCCACTTTAAGGAAGGTTTTACCTATTCAATCAAATCCTTGAATTTCTGCATCAAGTAGCAGTGATTCACCAAAGGCACTCCCTGGTCCAGCAGCATCAGTATCACCTGGAAACTGATTAGATATGCAAATTCTCAAGTCCTCCCCGAGACCTACTCAGTCAGAAGCTCTGGAAGTGGGGCCAGGAATGTGTGCTTCAGTGATTCTTCCGGGCGACTGTGGTGCTTCCTGATGTTGGAGAATACTGTTGAAGAATTCAGAATGTCAGCATTTTGGAAGTGTGGTGATTTTAAGGAAAGAAAGGCAGTATTGGGAAAAGCTTAAGTGAATGGACTATGGAGCCTCACATCCAGGATTTGAAATCCAGCTCGCTAATTTACCAATGTGACCTTAGTTACAGTTCATAACTTCTCTCTGCCTCAGTTTCCTTACTTATAAAAGGGAGGTAATAGCACCTACCTGTTTGGGTTAATTGGTGAGTTAAATGACTTAATTCACATTAAGTTCTTAGAAAAGCACCTGACCCAAGGCAAGTACTCAATAATGATTTATTTTCATAATTATTATATTCATATAATTTATTATATCCTGTTATTATATTCATGTAATATAGTCAAAGGTAATGCATACAATTTAGCATACAAAGGTAATGCTAAAGGTTGCTGAGCCACTCACTTGGGTCCCTAAAGTACCATTCAGGACATTGTCACTGCAACATACTAGTCTTCTGACATCTCCAGAAGAGTTAGTGTGTTCCACTTAGGTCAGTGTTTTCATTTCTGGAAAGAATAGAGGTCAGAATACTGCAGTGGCGAAGACTTCAGTCTCCATGGGTTCCAATTTTTTTCTGCCACCAAAGCTGTGTGACCTTAAGCAAGTTCCCTAACCTCTGTGCCTCAGTCTCCTCATCTGAAAAGGAGGTGGTGAAAATAGTAATAACCTATTGCATACAGTCGATGTGAAAAGTCCATGGTTAAACTTTTTGGTCTCGGGACCATTTTCATGTCTTAAAAATTATTGATGGCTCCAAAGAACTTTTATTTACATGGATCATATCTGTCAATATTTACCATATTGGAAGTTAAAACTAGGAAACTTAAAAATATTTACTTAAAAGTAATAAACCCATTGCATCTTAACATAAATAAGAAAAATTATTTTCCAGAAAATCAAAATAGTGGAAAAAGTGGCAGTTTCACATTTTTGCAAGCCCCTTCAATGTCTGCCTTAATAGAGAACAGTCAGAGTCTCATAGCTGTTGCTTCTTTCAATATGTTGTCCATTATTTTGGTGAACTATGTGAAGAAAACCCAGCATCACACAGATATGTAGGTAGAGAAGGGAAGAATGTATTAATAGGCTTGTGAGGTGATTATGAGTATCTTTCTTTGATATTGCACCGAAATTCAACATGTGGTAGCTTCTTGTAGGTTGGTTGTGGTTTGGAATCTGAAATTATCAGTGAACTTCACATATTCTGTTACATTAAAATCCATCAGTCTCTTGTGCTCTGGGTCTTTCACCAGTGCATGATTTTGTAATATCATACATTGGCCATTTGAAAAATTTGGAATCACTAGGTTTTGCAAATCTTTCATACATTCATACATTTCATTATATAATATCAAAATATCATATTAATTAATATCTCCAGCATTCACATCAGAAAAGTCTTTTATGTATTGGGAAGCTGCCAAACTCATATAGATAGAAGTTTTCCAAAAATCTAATCTGTGCTTGAAAGTTCAGAGTTTATTATTGTCAGTGAATATTGTCAAGTATTTCCCTTGAAGTGACAGTCTCATTTCCTTCAGTTTTAAGAAAATAGCCTTTCAAATATTCAGTTTGAATAACCATAGGTGTTCCACGAGAAGAGTTGCTATTTCAGCTTACAACTCAGTGTTACAAGTGTTTTTCCTTGAGACAACCATCATACCTCAGGATGGAACAGAAGTCCCTTATGCATAGTTCCCATTTGGTCACACAGAATATTAAAAAGATGTGTACTCAAGGGCGAAGGTTTAATGAAACCAATAACTTCTACTTACAGGGACATTTTAAGTGAAACTAGATTTTTAAAAAATTTCAAGTGGCAGTGAAAAATATAATGAATATTATTACTACTATTTGGTGCTATTATAAATATAGTTTGACCTCACAGATCCTCTAAAAGGGTCTCGGGGTCCCCCAGAGGTCTGTGCACTGCCAAATTAATACATCATAAGTGCTTAGAATGGTGCCTGACACATGATAACTTCTGTGTGTGTGTTATCATTGTTTTTATTTGTGTATTTTTACTAAATATCATCACCAATTAACCCCCGAAATCATGTATGGTTTCTATAAGAAAACAGGAGGTGACATTACAATCCTCGATCTGCATGTACATTTTAATAGACTATGCAGGCAGATAGGTCACACGCTGCAGGAAATGAACAGTTTTAGCATTTGGAATAATAATCAACTTCACTCTCACCCTTTCTGCTGTGCCCTTGCCCTGAGGTTCTGTAATGACTTCAGTTAATTTAATAGCAACTGAACAATTTGCTTTTTTGCAGAGCAGCATAGAAAAGGCTGCCTTTGTCAGACTGTACTTGGTCTCTCAAGGACGGTTCCCCTTGATGAGCTTGACTGACATGCTCGGTGTTGCCGTTCAGCACCATGAAAAAGACACACTGGCCTGGATGATGCTGCACAGCTTATACCATGCACGGATTGTGGGCCACGTGAACACAGGTGAGGCCAGCGTGGGCGAACATCAGGAGCAGAAAGGCCTGCCTGCCATCCCTTTTGAGCTGTAATTGTTTCCTCAACTTAAAATCTGGTTTAGCGCTCCTTGAACAGGTGAGGCCTTGGTACCCCAAATGAGGAGCACCTTGGATGGAAATGAGCAGTTACATCCCACAGCATCCACTCTTTGGATATGCGAACAAATTCTTTTGAGGATTTTTATCTTGTTTTTGGTCCTCAAAGATACCAGCAAGTTTATCAGGTAGATTTTGCCTGCTGCAGTTTCTCAGGCAGATAGGATAGCCATTCATTACGCCTGATGTTTTCATGAAAATGGCTTTTGGGTAGTTATTTAATAGACAAACAAAAAACGGCAACAATGAAATTAAATAGTTGTCCTATCAAAGAACGTCTCCGAGGTGAGAAGAACAAAATCTGGACAACCTACCTATGTCCTCAAGCCAGAAGTTCCAGGCCTGAGGCTCTGCTAATGAATCATATGGTACAACTTTGAAGCCCTTTTAGATGTTTAGGGTTTAATAGTCATCTGAGGAGGGAATGCCCTCATTTCTCCTCCCATGCCTTTGGTCATATTCTTAGAATTTCTTGAGTCTGCGTTCAGGTTCTGGGTGATGCCTGGCTTCAGCAGACCAGATGTGGCTGGGAAGCCCTGTGTCCATAGGCAAGTTACTTACGTTTCTTTGCCCTGTTTTCACTATCCCTTGTATCTTTAAAGTTTTGAGAGAAAACTGGCAAGCATAATTGTAATACTCTTTTCAAAACTTTTTGATTCCTTTACCTCTTTGACAGTTGAAATAGTTGTCTCATATCTGCCATTAGTGCTTGACCAATGAGAAATGAACCTGTGATGAGAAACTAGATTTTCTTTTTCCTCTAAATCAAAACTGTATAAGGAAAAAGAAAATACAGTAGGTGTTCCCAATTAAGCATGAAGATAAATGAAGCAAATTGAAATAAATTTGATGCTGCCTTTGGCTCTAACCTTAATTTTGAAAACCTTCCCAAGTAGTTTTTACTATAATGAGAATCCTCAGTTTTTAAAAATAAAGAAGGAAAAAAAAAATCAATATTTATGTTATTTATTCTCCAGTTACTCTGTAACAGCTGGTTTCTGTTTTTCCTTTTATGTCTTGGGATAGGTGTTTTTCTTTGTGATTCTGGCATAAAGTGGGAACATTTAAGCTAAGAACTATAAAAAAAAAAACTGCTCCAAGATTCGGCATTACTGGTTAGTTGGTGTGCTAGATTTCCCATAGTGCGTTTAATGTTGACAAAGAAACTCCAGTAAATGCATTTTATCAGTAGTGGCTGGGTAGGTTTGAAGAATAAATTAGCTATTGAAAATGAAAACCAAAATATAGTCATTTGATGTAAATAGTGTGAACTCTCATGAACAACTACAAGTCACCACTATTGTGAGATGCTATTTCATGAAATCCTCACCAGCTGTTCTGCTTGAGTTATGACAGTTGTTATTGTTCTGTTTTGCATTTCAAAGGAAAAACCATGGTTGGTTAAGAAAATGGTTTTTTCCTTTTCAGGTGTGTTGAAGAGAATGGAATGGCTCTTGGAACTGATGGGTTATATCAGAAACGTTACTTACCAGTCAGCACCTGTGCAGAATGTGGCTCTTGCTGAGGTACAATTTAGAGAAGTAATTTGTAGCTTTCTTAAAATACAGAACTTATATTTGCTCCCCTAAAAGAGGAATATATTACTACTTGTAGCTTTCTTTTCCTCTTTGTTTTTATTTTTGGGAAACAACACTGGTGACAACTCTAATGTCACAAGCAAATACATATTCTTACCAGGCTCTTGGAGACACCTTGGGCTGACCTTTGAAAAATATTTCAACAGAATACATTCCTTGACAGGCAGCAGACGAGGACACTAGCTGGAGCAGGAACCCAGGGTCCTGTGTACTTGGGCTTGATCCCACAAAGGACGTGGGGTTCAGGGGTTCAGGATTCTGGCCTCCACACTGGCCCAAGAGGCTTCACACAGCTGGTTTGGAGAATTCCTGGAGTGTGTGCAAGTAATCTGTGCGCGCCAATACTTACTGGCGCATGTGCGTGTATTAGTTTTCAGCACACCTTCAAAATGACCTGTGACCAAAAAAAGGTTAAAAACCACTGGTATTGGGTAAGTTAAAAAAGAAAAAGATTGATAAATAAAATGATAACAGCACCTTCCCACTCGCCTCATGTTATTAGCTGCCCACTGTGCATTTTTTTAGGGGAATAATTTTTTTTTCTATAGGCATGTTTCACATGTTTCCTCTGTGAGTAGGAATGTATAGAACTTGGAATGTTGTTTGAAATTCTACCCCATGTTTCTAGGGAGTTGTGTGTGTTTTAAAATTTTAGTTAGCAAAAATAGGAATTTTAAGAGATTGAGGAGTTATTTTTAAACTTTTTAAAACTAGCATGATCTGTCCTCTTTTTCTTCTCTCCCAAATTTTTATAAGCCTCCTGCCTTCTTATGAAAATCTTTTAAAACCTAGAAAATATAGATAAGCAGAAAGTATAATTTAAACCACAGTAATCCAACAGCCTGTTACCAGCATTTCTACAACTGTCTAGATTAGTCTAAAATCTAAAGGGATGGATTCTAGGCAGATTTGTTTAAATGGATGAGGAGACTTATTTGTTATTATTGTTCAAAAATAGAGTAAGACTCTAAATATTTTTAATAAAATCATTTTTAGCCATATAACAAAAGATCTAAAACATCCCTCTTCATACCACTCTTAATTAATTTTTTAGTATCTTTAAAAACACCAAATCAGATGAGTATTTGGATCTTTGTGATTAGGAATTAAATCACGTCTCTCCTGAAATGTTAGAGCAATAATAATGAAACTGATGAACCTTCTGTATTCACAAAAGAGGATCCCAAAAACCTACCAAAGCCCTACATTGTCTCTGTATTAAGTATAGAAACAGACTTTGTTCTTCAGTCCAGTTCCTCTTCTCGTGTGGGGCGGGGCGGAGGGGTTGAGTGAAGGGGAAGATAACATTGCATCATGATGGGGGCTGTGTATGTGAACATGTGTTGCTTTGTATTGTGAAAACACATGACCTAGCCTTGTTTCTATTTCCATTGTAGGCTCTGGACTTTTTGTTGCTGATATTTGCAACCGCAGTGGTTGCATGGGCAGACCATGCTGCCCCTCTCCTCCTCGGTCTCAGTGCCAGTTGGTTGCCATGGCATCGAGAAAATGACCCAGCTGAGCCAGCATCAAGCTTCCTTGGCAGAAGTCCAATGCACAGGGTCACTCTGCAGGAGGCTCTCACTCTCCTTCCCAGTAGCATGCTTCTTCTGCTGCAGAAAGAGCCATGGAAGGAACAGACCCAGAAGGTGAGGTTGTCAGCCACCTGCTTATCAGGGCAGGCGGCCATTTGCTCCTCAGTAATTTCTGCTGTAGATTTGAAGTGGGAGTTAAATGAAACTTGAATCACACCACAGGCTTTCATGCTCAGCCCCAAGTCTCAGCCAGCTGCAAAGCCTCAGAGATTGAGGCTAACAATGACGATAGTAACAACTTGCTTACAGTGGAGGTGAGGTGGAAAGAAAAGCTTATACATGCATTCATTTATTGAAGGCACATGTGTTCTTGCTCCTGGAGATGAAATGGTGAGTCTCTGAGAACTCAGAATCTCCAAGTGAAGAAGACAAGTTCAAGATTGCAAGATGGTATGATAAAGGAGGACACAGTGGTGATGAACAAGGATGAGGGTAATCAACAGTGCCTGGGAGGGAATCAGGGAAATCTTCTACAGGGAAGCATGAGCCTGCAGCCTCCGTCCTCTTGTAGCTCAACCCTTTTCACCCTGCAGCCAGGTTCCAGGTGCCACCGTGCTCCTGGTTTGTGCTAGATACTGAGGGGAGGTTTGTAACGATCTAATATGATCACCCTTGCCCTAAGGGTGCCCAAGGGTGATCACCCTTGGTTTTTGATATTAAGATTGTCCAGGCTACTAGTTTCCATGCAGAGCATATGAAAATACTGTGCTTCCTGGAATTCTCATTATGTGGATCTGACATGCCCATACAGTTGTTTGAAAGATTCTTTTCTGAATGCCATTTAATCAAAATTGGATTTTTATGAGATTGAAAGCTTAAAACTAGCTTTATGTGGCTTATTCACAAAACCTGATCACTAATCTTTAAAAAATATTTTAAACTGTGGACCCACAGTTTAGCTATGCACAACTCCACTGAGTATCTCAATTAAAATGCCTTTGTTTTCTTAAACCTGATGTGCATTAGTAGTATTGTCCTAAATTTTGTGTTTTATGTTTCACTGTAAGTCAACTAAATTTAAATTTGGTACCCCTCGTGTTATACCTGACCTAGGACAACATGTTCACTTAGGACTACAGGGTAGATATCCTGAATCTATTATGTATTAGTAGGGCTTGATTTATTTACTTTACCAGTTGGATATTTTAAAACAAAATTGATAAAAAGAAAATAAACTTTTAATTAAAGCAGGGAATTAGGAATATTTTTTTCTATTTTACTCTTTCTTCAACCCAGCTTCATGTCCAAGGTTGAAATGAGTCAAGGTTGGTAAAATTCAGAGATCAATGAATTACCCTGTATTTGATTCAAAAACAATTCTGCACCCTAGGAAATCAGTCAGACTCATGAGGTCCATGAGTGTCCACCTTATCTGCAGGATTTATTTGCAGTTAACACACTTGGCTCTACCTAGTAAATTATTTTATGCCTTTTCTCCTACATTTCAACTTACTATTTCACATTCATTTGGGTATAAACTATCCTTATCTACAGAGACATATTTTATTTTACAAATATGCCCAGCCTAGGAGCCTATAGGCCTGGATGCACACAGACCCAGGTAGCAGGCAGCATGATGCAGAGAAAGGATGTAAGGCTTTGGTACACTTGGGTTCAACTCTGGACTCTGCCCTTCATTGCGAGTACAATTGAGCCAAGTTCTTGACCTGCCTGGTCCCCTCAGAGTAACAACAGAGAATGTTCGTGACACACAGGAGGCCTTTGGGGCCTCCCGTAGCCGGGTTCAGGGTGTTCAGCAAGGGAAAAAGGTTCGATTTTGTAGGTGTTTGACTAAATAGGAGCTATGTCTGTCTGTAACATCTTATGCCTGGCCCCTTTCTCCAGGGGTTCTCCCAGCCCAGTCAGGGGTTATCCAGGAACCAGTGTGCCGATCCACATGAACGTAGGCACAAGGGTCTGACTGCTCTCTGACTGATGGTGGGGCTGTCTTCACTAATACTGTTCTTTGTTTTCATCCTAGTTCATTGACTGGCTATTCAGCCTCATGGAAAGCCCTAAAGAAGGCCTCTCTGCAAGATCCAGGGGTCTTTTAAGAGGTACGACTTTCATGCCTTATGCCCAATGTAGGTGAAAACCTTCTAACATTGTCTGTGTTACAAAACGGCCTTTAGTGGATGTTGTTCCAGAAAGGGCTCTTCTTGGTTCAGTTTAGAGAAGTAGCCCAGAGCTCTCACCAGTGTGGCACTGTAAATTAGAAAGTGGATTTTAAAAAGAGTTGCAGTGTCTTTAAATTTAATTTTTATTTAAATGTCTTGTAATTGTAAAATATGGCTTTAATTAAAATATAGAAAATTCATTAAAAGAAAAAGCAGAATCCAGAATCCCATTGGCCAACAATAACTTCGATATTTTTCCTGAGATGTTTTTGCTCCCTCTGTGTATCTGTTGTTTTAACATCTTTAAAATCATAAATAATTGACAAAATATACATAGACACTTTGAATACTGCCTTTTCATTTTTAAATTATTTATAAAGCATTTAACATGCTCTTACCCTGGCTTCATAAGAGTACTTTTAATGGCTGCCTAGTACTTTGCCTAGGGGGTGGTCATTTTCTATGCTTTCACATAGTTACATGGTTTTTGTGTTTTCATTAGTATTCCTCTATTGATTTGTTAAACCATGACTGTGGGGTCCACAAACATAGAAGGGCTTTCTGTGAAAGTGATGCAGATTTTTTACTCAAGTATGAGAAGTCTTTTAGGCATTGGCCCTGTGGCCCAAGATAGCTTCTACTGTCATCCGTATCGTAGGGCTGGGGTGGGGAGTCTGTGCTCCTGACACCTGGCAACGGTCAGCCTACTCTCAGGACAGTCCACCAGGCCCATCTCCAGCCTGGAGTCCTAGCATGACCATATTTTACTTTAAGTGTGGTATAATTTATTTGCCAAACAAGCAATAATTTCCCAAAAGATTGGTTCTGATTCTTCTTCCTACCCACAAGGTGTGGATGGAGGGCATTGCTATGAAGGTGATTCTGACCAGTTACAGAACTTCACTGAGAATAAGGGCTGGGGCCTGTAATATTTCCACTAGATCTGTCCCTAGAGATTTGCTGCCAGGATTTCCTCCATTTGTTTGCATTAGGGAGTTTGAACTCATTTCTAATGGCTGTGGGTCCATGATACCGTTGGTTGCTTCAAACATATACGGTCTTAGGTTACGAAAATAACAAACAATTGATACTGATGAGGAAAAGAGCTATTTGGGTCAAGAAAGTACATATTCAACCTGATTGTATATTCAAGGGCTTATTAGAGTCTTAGACAATAATTGTGTAACTCTGGCTTACCTACCTTCCTTCACACTATTATATTTTTAAATAACATCTCGATATATTTATATTAATATTCTAAAATAGTATTTATAATAAGTTACCTAGAGGCATTACACAGAACCTCCCTGTTTTAAATTGATCCCTGAGGGACCCATGCCAGATCAGAAAAGCTGTGGACTTATGGGTACATGTTCAAATATAGTTTAGTATAGTTATACTTGCTCCATTGAGTCCATAAACCTAACTTCATTATAGGATCAGCTGGGGGGGTTTTGTTGTTGTTGTTTTGTTTATTTACCTTTTAGTTAAGTATTTAATGGAAAAATCACATTCACATAAAAAAGTACTCAAGTCACAAGTAGATTTTTTTAAAGGGAACATGCCTATGTAATCAGCACCCAGATTAAGGAAAAGAATATCTTCAATATCCCTGAAGTCAGTTTTTGTTATAATTCTGCAGAATTTCCCCTGAGCTAGTTGAAAAAAAAAAAAACAGAAAAACTTTTCCCCAGTCTTTATTAATGGTTTTCTGCCATTAAAATTCTGCCTAAAGCTTGATGGGAAGTCTTAGTCTTAAAGATTAGCCAAGTAAGAGAAAAAGGCAGGTTCTGTTCTGATACTTTTTTAATCTAAATTACCTTTGCAAATGCAGCGCCAACAGATACAACAGTGCATTCTTTTTGTCCCCTTAGCCACCCTGCTGTCCTTACGAGTTCTCCCAGAGTTTAAGAAGAAAGCCGTATGGACAAGAGCGTATGGTTGGTGAACAGTTTCGCCATAGCCAGCCACATTCTCAGCTGGAAGAGGAAAACCACGCAAATGGAAGAAATGTCTCAGAATACGCACCTGGGATCACCGAGATTTGATGCAGAGAGTTAACGAACAGCCTGAACCATGAGTGCCACGAGATCGGGCATTGCTCTGGTCCCCAGGCCAGTGGAGACTGAAAATTGAACTTTCTTTTATTTGGCTAGAGTTCAGTCTTAAGATTTTCATTGTATATAAGCTCCTCCCCTCCAAAAAAAATTCTAGTAAAATAATCTCTTGGGTTTTCTGATTTTATTTGCTTTAAGGTGTAGGTAAGATTTTACTAGCAAAACCAAACCGTAGTAGTGACAGAGGCATTATGATCTATTTCCCATTAAGTGTCTCAAGGATATTAATTGACTCAATGAGTTAGACATCTTTTCTTATTCTTATTGATGAAGCAACTCTCTTGGAACTGCTATACACATTTAAATAATAAGCGTGATGTTAAACATTAGCTAAATCAGATTCATTACCAATGGCTATAATTTTCTTATACTTGAGTCTCTTGAATGCAAGTGAAAGTTACCCAGTTGAAGATGACTTCTGCTAAAAAGGAGAATATACCTTATTCACAAACCAAGAATTAAAGAGTGGATCTGCATAGGCACAGCCGTATCCGATGAGCCCAAAAACGCCATCAGGCTCTGTCCCTCTCAGGGTCACTCCACAGAGTCGCCGAGACGGCCGCCAGCAACCTCAAAGAAAGGAATGCTGTCCTTGCTCCCAGGTGTGGCAGTAGCGATAGGAGGAGGACTCCAACTCATCTTGTGTCACGTGAGTCCCTCGGAAGCGGCGTCTAAATGACCAGGCCTGGGTCATATGTCCCCCTCTACCGGGTTTCCCCAGAAGAAAGATTATGGGATGCTAGGCAAGCAAAAAATGACAAATACCTCCTTGAAAGATTGATCTTTTTTATAAGTACAAATCTCTATCTTAATCAGGATGACTAGAGGCCTAATGACAAGTAAATGAAGGTATGTGACAGTATCCTTGAGGGTTGCATTTTACTCAAGGGCTTGAGAATCAGGCAGCATTTTAATTTTGATGTTTGCTAATGACTGCCTCATGCAGTCATTAATCAGGGCTGTCATTAGCCAATCTTATAAACATACCGCTGTATACATACACAGGATCGTGGGGGGAGTCTTGTCATTGGACTAGCGTAGTTTTGTGTCTGTCATGCTATGGTGCAGTGCCTGCTGCTTTGTAAGCACAGCGGAAATTTCAGCATTCTCAGGTGACATTACCTCGATGTTGTCACAAAGTGTACCTACTTAGGATAAAACAGATCTATTAGTTTTGTTTTTCAAATAGCTGGGTTTATGTTTTTAGGTCTCACATAATTCTGTTTCACTGTGTAACTTGCATTCTGTTCCCAGGTCACAGTTCTTTCTTTTGCTGAGATACCTACAGGAAAAAAAAAAAAAAGGAAGGGAAAGCGAACTCTCAGGTAGTATTTATCCACATTGCCAATATTTCATATATATTCTTCTTTAGAGGCGGAGCTAAAAGGAAATGAATTTAAAGGAAGCAGAAAGGTAGAAAATTTGTTAGAAGCCAGCTTCCCTCTTTTTCCCACATACAGTTTCTCATACTTCCCTCAATGAGAGGTTGAAATTTATCTAATATTTATTGTTACATGCCAGACTGTTAGTGCACTAGAGCTTTCATTTGTATAATCTTACTTAACTCCTGAAACAAGACTGTGAAGAGACATTACTTTCTATTTTTAAATGGAGAAAACACATAAGTAGCAGAGCTATTCCTCGAACCAAGCTCCTAGAAGAGAAATTCACATCCAATTCTCTTTCTATTACATCAGGCTCATTAACACGCACTTTAAGATGGAAACTTCCACCAAGTATTAAACCTTGATTTTAATATGCTTATGGTTTAATATGCTTTATTAAACCTATGGCTTAATATGCTTAATGTAGATTGCTGTAGTGAGATCAAAGAAATAACCCTGCCTCATGTTAGTAAGTCTCTGGAATTGGGAAGTTTAGGAGCTACGGTGCACAGGAACAGGTCCTTCGTGGGCTGAAGGACTGTAGATCCCTGGACCAGGTTGCAAACATGGATGGCAATAAAGAATAGGGAAGAGGAAGTGGGCACTGAAGAAATACTCCGCAATTTTCTCCCTGAGAGAAAGCTGACTAGTGCGCAAGGAAAGGATGAAGAATCAGCCTAGACTTCGGAACCCAAATGCCTGTTTTGATTCAGCCCATTCCCATTCGACCTGTGTCCCTGCTCCTCCTGCCCTTGACAAGAAAACAGAAGAGTACAAAGGGAGGAAATGAGATATACCTTATCCCCTCTTCCCTGGCTCCTGGTTTTTGTCTCCAGCAGTCTTGAGCATAAAATTTGTAGGATTTTCCTATTCACGGGAGGCTCTAAAGAGTCTAAAACAGAAGATTCTAAATTTGAAAACCTAAAAGTTTTAAAATCTCAACATTTTACGATATAGGTCACTGGAATAGTAACACCCATTCACTTGGTTACCTGTATGACCTGAAATAAGAATTAATTATTCCCTTAGGATATTTCACTTCTTTCCCTAAAAACCAGAAATCCCTGCTTTTTTAGACCCGATGTTCCAAACTATATACAAAAGGAAAAGTTTCCCTACAAGTCATTTTCTGTTATTTTTTGAAATCATAAATTGCTAAGACAAAAGGCAAGCTGAGATACATTAACAAATTATTGTGTGGGGTTAAAGCCATGGTATGTGTCTCAGAAGTATCCAAACGCCCTGTTTCTTGATTTGAAAAGTATACATTTGGAACAGGTGTTGGGATTCCTGTAAGTGCCTAAAATCTTCTTTGTGTTTTATTTGTAATCTAATGGCTCTATGGTAACAAATAAATTGTTAATAAACTTTTTTTGAAGTTCATTGACAGGGTTAATTTCGCCAAATGATTTTAACCAAAGATATTGGTATTACAGCTATATAAGGAATAAGACTTTGTTAAGGACTCAACTAGTATCTTGAAATGACTCAGTCACTTTGAAAGTAAGCAGTAGGTTTAGATTTTTGAAAAACATTTTAGTAAGTTGCTGTTGTAGAAGAGAAATCAGATCACTTGGTGAAGAGGATGGGGCCTTCCTTACAGGCAGAGTTGCAGGTTACGTCTCTGGTCCGTTTGAGACATAGCCTACGAACTAGCCTGTTCTTAGCGGCGGGCATCTCAGGTGGAACCAAGGGGCAGAGTGCAGCTGCGACAGTTCCCATCCCTCGTCTGTCTTGTGGAAGCCGCCTCACAGCATCACCTTCATGTATAAACGTGTTCATCACTGCTCTGGTCTAGGAGAAGGGAATATGCCTCATATTTTCTGGAAGGAAATTATGAATTTGGAAATTCTAGAGTCTCTTAAAATGTATCATACATATTGTATTTATGAAATAGTAAGTTAGCATTTAATCTATTAATATTCACAAGCAGTACAAATTTTTTTAATTGTAATTTAGAAAGGTCATTCAATTCTTGTCAAATATAAGGAAACTGTGAAGTAATATCCAGCAAAATTATTGAATACGAAACTGAATAAAAATGACAGGGATGACTCCCTGACTTCGGTTTTATTTCTTGGATAAAAGGAATAACCTAACTCACGAAGTACTTGTGAGGGTTAAAAGAAAACAAAAATATGCTTTTTAAATTCTAAAATGTAATAAAAATGCTACTACTTTTATATGTTTCACTGAAAATAGTTGCTATGATGCTTAAATACAGGCCTGATATGTACATTGGGACTTGGTAAGATAATGGAAATTTCTTAATAAAGTGTCCTCCTTAACAATTATGACATAGTAGTAGCACAGTAGAAACAAGTAGTAGCACATTAAGAAAAGATACTTATATAAATTTTTTTTAAAAACTAGGTTTCTTCTGAACATGAGGTACTCTAAGATTAATCAAATATAATTGAAACATGACCTAATTAATCTGTTACATTTCTTAAAATGTTTTTTTCTGGATGTACTAGTAGTAATCTATAAAGACAGATTTGCAAAACAGTTGTGATTTTCTTCAGTGTGCCGCCATACAAGGTTCTAGAGGACAAAGTGAACAAGACATGACATTCCTGTCCTCATGGAGCATATGTTCAGAAAATATAAATCAGTAAACCATCATGCAATAAAGAAAAGCATCCAGGAAACATTATGAATTTCCTACCCCTGTGTAGCCCTTTATAATTTATAAAGGTTTAATTTATCACCCTTCATCTGCTCTTCACAATAATCTTGGGCAGTTACGGAAACCGGAACTTGGGGAGCCATTCAGTAATATTGGAGCTGCATTTCAAATCAGAGCCAGAGTTCTTAACTCCAGACCCCGCCATTCTCTCTCACAGGACTGCGTCATTCAGCTGAGCAGCACGAAGTAAGTACACAGTGAACTCCTACATTATCTAATGAATTAAGGGATAGTTTTACTAATTTATTTTCATATAGAATTGACTAACCTTTGTTAAATCAAGATTTAAAACGACAGCTACCCTCAGCAAAGATAGATTAATTATAGTTAATAATTCCTATTTAGTATCTTTAAAAACTATGTAAGTGTAAGAAAAAGCACGGAAAACTTGTTCTTATAGTTCTTATTAGCAATTTTCTGTCCAAAGCTGAAATACAGTACACTCAGAAGCAGTGGGTCTCAAACTACTGTGTGAATATGGCACATTTAAGGGGCCTATCAAAATGCAGGTTCCTGGGCCCTTACAAAGCTGCTGAATTAACGGATCTTTAGTTCAGCCCAGAGTCAGAGAAAGACAAATACCATATGATTTCACTCATATGTGGAATCTAATGAACAAACTGAACTAACAAGGAAAATGGGGACAAACTCATAGATGGAGAACAGGACAACATCTAGTGGGGTGGCCAGAAGGGTAACTGGGTAAAGGGATTGAGTAAAACAAAAACAAACAAACAAAAATGAATCCACATTCTAAACAGGCACTTTGGTTAATTCTGTGACCACTGCTCCCTGGAATTACTATGAATAAATGACCTGGAGAAAAGTGCCAAATCAAAATTGGCATATCACTTAGATCCAGAAGAAGAAAGCAAGAAATATCCAAACACAGGAAAAACAAAATAATGTTTCAAAGCAAAAGTAAATGAGAGGAAGATGTTGAGGAAAGAGCAGATAATTTTTATTTGAATTAGATACTTTAACACAATAAAATGTAACTGTTGTCTTCGTGCATAAATTTAAATAAATGTGAGTTTCTCCAGAGAAATTTTTAGCTATTGGTGTTATAGCTAATTCAACTTTTGGAAGAAACAGATTCTTATGTGTGACAATTTGCTCAATATAGGCAGAATAATGTATGGGTAAAAAAAATTAACTCTCTAGGGACTTCAAGTGAGATGTGGTACATTCTTTAATAACAGATGTGTTCACAGGAAGCCTGGTAAAGGTTTTATCATGTTGACCTGTGCCTGGTACATTTTGGCACAAAGTAAGTGTTTCTTGTTGAGTGAACATAAGCATGTGTAATGCAGCCAACTACAGTTCAACTCATTCTACTAAGGTTATCATGTTTATTGGATCAAAAGCTAAGACCAGGATGGGCGTATTCATGGAAGGCATACTACAGTAAAATAAAACTCATCTAACTAAATGAATATGTTTGAAAGGAGTATCTGTTATTGTCTTATTTCAACTATTTTGATAAAGGAAAAGCTCAGGGACTCTGATATTACATGTGAGTGTGTGTATGTGTGTGTGTTTTACTTGTATTTTTTAGTAGACTTTTGCTGAGTGATAAATAAATTCTCCACAGAAGTTCTGATTTGGTGTGGTTTTCCTTTTTTTTTTCCACCAGAGGCACTGCTGCTGTGATTATTGTTCCTTTGCTTGGGTTACTTGGAAATTCAGATAATTCACCTTGGCATTTGGAACTCCAAAGAAGATCGGTTACAAGTTACATCTTAAGTTTTTGAAATATGTAATGGTTCCTATTTAATGTATATTAATTAGATGTGAGAAACTATGCCTTTGATCAGACTAAACAAAACAAAATGGAGGTTTAATGGACACAGTTAAAACAGCCAAAGAAATGAACTTTGCAATCTTGGTGACGTCCAATTAGCTAGATGGTTACTCTCTTGTTTTCTTAACCCGGGGAACATGAACTTGGGTGGGAGAAAAAAGTACACCCTTATCGTCACTAACCTCTAGTTCTTATTAGAGACATCTAGTATGTCAATTTTAATATAAGCAGCCAACCACAATAACACTAACAATTGTGACTATGTCACCGTAGGAAATTACAGATCTTTTCTACATTACAATTGTTGCAGAGATCTCAAATTTTTGTCAATGCACATCTCTACTTCAAAATTACCATAATTATAAATTTACTCGTGTTTCTTTTTGGTCTTCTATTTTAATAAGTAGGAAGGTTCTTCAGGTAATTTGCTTTAAAAAATTAAAGTATTACTTAGTAATGAAATTTTAATTTCTTAACATGACCCAATAAGGCATAGTTTGTCTAGTTCTTTATCTTCATCTTAGTGATTCTAGATGTATATTTCAGCAATGCATGTAGTCATCTGTATTGGGAGGAAGCTAGACTGTCACCTAAAGTTTGTCAAGGATATCTGTGCTCTTTGCACACTAAAGCTTTCAGTAAGTAATCTTTAAATTTAGAAGTAAAATAAGCAATTTTAAAAGAAAAATAAAATGCAGCTTTTTAAATGGATAATCTTAATATTTATTTTTAAATTCTAAACATATTAAATTTATAAGGATATCAGTTATCTTTATTAATTCTCAATTGTTTCTTTTTCATTGTTTTATTTAGTGGTATAAGATTACTATTTTTTTGTAATTACATTTTTACCACCTGGTTTTTATGTAACAAAATATTTAGTACCATTTTTATATAGTTGCTGGATAATACGATTCTATAATTCTTTCAAAAAAAAGTGAATGATATACCAATGGTTCAGAAATTATTCCATTAGTCAGTTATTCATATATATTTTAAATCTTCAAAGAAAGGATCAGTTTTCAATACTATAAGTGATGACATATGACGTTATAGTAATTAGCAATAGTTGAATTGTAGTAAATGATCTGAAACATAACTAGCTCTTGATTTTCTTACCTACTCTAAATGGCTTACTCTATTTTTGTAATTTTTATTTCCCTGGAAGGTACATATGGCCTGATATTTGTAAAGGGATATGGGGCATTAATTGTGTATTTATCAAAAGCCCATTTTGTTTTCATCAGGTTCCTCTTTTAAGACATCAAAGCCCAAATAATTTGTATAATATTAATGAATACTCTTCCAGGGTTTGGAAAAATGTTTACTTTTCTAAGTGTGTCTGATGTTTAAGGAGAGTGTTACTCTGGGAATGGTGACATCTGTCTAGAAAATGTTATCCTAGACAACTGCAGAGCATGTTTCACACCACAGCCCTCCTATGCACCTGCTGCTATTTGGGAATTCAGAAGTGAAAAGAAATAGATGTGAATAGATGTACGTTAGATTAACAACTTCAATTTCTCAATTTAATTGCATCTACTACAGTTAATCTATTTCTCATTACCCTTACAGCAAAATAATCAGGCTTCATACAATATAAATTTAACTTGTATAAAATCCACAGCTTTGGAGAAACAGGTTGCTCAGAGTATACATTTTGAAAATATAATGTGTGAGAATCATAGACAGCTGTCATGGATTTTTGTCAAATACTAGGTATTTTTCCACCAAAATTCTTCCTGTGTTGTGTTTACTGTAGCAGAATCTGCGAGGCCTGTTTTTTCTCATGTCACATCAGGATGGTGTGCCTCATGTTCTCTTCTTTTTAATGGAAAAGACTCTGAGGACGTCTCTTCTCTCTGAGTAAAGATGACTGTAGATAAAATACATACCTAACATGAAGAAGAAAATGGTAAAAGTAAGTAAGATGAATTAACCATTTCTTTGCAGAGGACTGTAGTTTTAAAATTCAGAGTGCTGCCTGGAGCCCAGGGGCGGGACCCTGGCAGGGGAGGTTTAACGAAGGAATGCTTAACAGAGTGTCCATGTTTTCTTCCAAAGGGAAAGAGTAAGGCAGACCCCTCCATCTCTATTTTGTTGATTGCAAGGAATTTTCCCCTTTGTTTAAGGTAGCTCTTTCCCTTTCCCCTAATGTTTCACATTTGTATTCTCTTTTACATGTTGACCTTATATATCTGATAGTTGTTACCTTCTAGAAGAGTAATCACCATCTTGAGGGTTTGTGATGGTTAGAGCTAGGAAGCTAAAATTTAAAAATGAAAGTCTTTTTCCCAATTTTCTGGAAAAAAATTAATTGATCAAATTTTTTCAACTGTATGTTTTTGTTGCATGCATTTTTCTTGAGTCTTTAGCTCCTTCTCCCACTTGCCTACTAGGAAATACTAGCACATAAGGCAGGCCAAACAAACAGAAGAGCAAATGAATATAAATTGAAAAGTCAGAAATAGACAAGGCTGCTCAATTTGACATCTAGATTTTTTTTTTTTTTTTTTTGTAGATATCCAAGTCTGTGGTCAAAACTTCTATATTTTATACATAGCAATTAGGTTTTCCACTAATAAAACTTTTCTGGTTCATCTCTTATTCATTTGATCTATGATATCTTAAAAAAGTATCAGTAATATCTAGGTCCTATACTACCAACATCTAATTCATTGTATCAGGCTTCCTTTTTGGTCTCTCCCATGTTTATAGACTTTTCTGTTAAGGTAGAGGCAATACAAGACAAAACAGAAAAGACACTTACCTATAAAAAGCATTATGAGATATATTTTCAGCACATATGGGAAATAGATGGAGAAGTCAAAGGGCAGCTTTGTGGAGTAAGTGCCAAATGATTCAAAATAAGGCAGTGACTGATAGATGGCAAATGCTGTTTAAAGAAAAAAAGAAGGAATCATGGAAGTTTCTCTGCTTAACTTGCTATGGGGATATGTATATATGTCTGCACAATAGAAGGATACTTTGATAACAGTTTTGTGACAAATGCTGAATTCTTTAGCTAAAGTTACAGTTTGATATAGAAACCTGCTGAATAAGTAAATTGGTGAGGCAAAAACAGCAGTGTGACTTATTGAATTGTTGTTCATCTTATACTTCATTCTGCCTTCTAAGAAATAGCTTATGTTTCTTCTGATTTGAATCTCAAAATACCTGTCCCCTTAGCCACAAATAGGGGTGGGTTATAGATAAACAAATTTAGAAAGTACTACAAATATTTTCCTCTTGGAGTTTCACAACACACATTAATATAATAGAGATTCTAAAAAGTTCTGCAATAAAGTAACTGGTTTCAGAAGTGAGTCCAAGATGGCCACATAGGAGGACGCTGAGCTCACCCCCTCCCAAGAACACGTCGAATGTACAATTACATCTGGAACAAGTCCTCCTGCAAGACAACCAAGGGCCAATTGCACATGCAGAAGGTTGGGGAACCGTTGGGGAACTGTGAGAGCTGTCCTGAAACTGGGGGAACTCTCCAGGACTGAAGGAATCCCTGTTTGTTTCCCTTGCACATGTATAGTGAGTGAGGAGCTCTATCCAGGGTCTCTGGCCAAGCTGTCAGGCTCAGGCTACTGTAGCAGGTCCCCAGCCACTGCTCCAGGTCGAGCTCCAGCAGGAACAGAAGGGTGCCATCATGTGCATGCACAGGGTCTCTCCACCCAGAAATTAATTTAGTAAATATTGCAGAGCACTGCTGTATGTACCCACTGGGCTACACATGCATGTGGGGTTCTCCCACCCAGAGAAAGTATAGAGATAGCAGGGACTCCTACACATGCATGTGGGGCTGCCCCACTGGGAGACAGAGCCCCACTAGTAAGGCACTTCAGCACTAGCACATACGGTGGCCCTACCAGAAGAGGAAGAAGGAATGCTTTCAAAATCATTCTGTAAGACCAGCATTACTTACACTAAAACAAGAAGACATTGCAGAAAATTCTCAACAAAATATAATAGCAAACCAAATTCAATAATTAAAAGGATACGCCATAATCAAGTTGGATTTATAGCAGGAATGAAAGGTTCAATATCACAAAACAATTAATGTGATACATCATATCAACAAAACCAAGGATAAAGATCATATAATCCAATAGATGCAGAAAATACATTTGAAAAAATCTAACCTCCATTTATTTAAAAAAATCTCAACAAAGTGGTTATAGAAGTAACTTACCTCAAGATGAGAAAGACTATATATGACAGGACAGAGCTAACATCATAAACAGCAATGAAAAGCTGAAAGCTTTTCCTCTAAGATCAGAAATAAGACAAGGATACCCACTCTCGCCACTGTTATTCAATATAATATTATAATTCCTAGTAATAGCAATCTGACAAGAAAAAGAAATAAAAGGCATCCAAATTGGAAAGGAAGTAATAAAGCTCACTACTCACTGAATTTACTGAAAATTAATATAATAAATGAATAAAGTATTAGGATATAAAATCAATATACAGAAATTTTTCATGTTTCTATACACTAATATCAGAAGGAGAAATTAAGAAAATAATCCCATTTACTAGTGATATACAACATAATTAGTTATAAGGGAAATGCAAATCAAAACCACAATGAGATACTACCTCTTACCTAGTAAAATAGCTATTATCAATAAGTGTTAGAGTGGAGGTGGAGAAAAAGAAAACTCATACACTGCTGGTGGGAATGTAAATTGGTGCAGCTGCTATGGAAAACAGTATGACAGGTTCTCAAAAAATTAAGATAGAGCTACCATATCACACAGCAATCCCTCTTCTGGGAATCTACTCAAAAATTTTGAAAACACTTATTTGCAATGATATATGTACTCACAATAGTCAAAACAGGCAAACAACCTAAATGTCCTTTGATGGATAATTAAAGAAGATATACATTTTTACAATGGTACATTTATTCATCCATAAAAGGTGAAATATTGCCACTTGTGACAACAATGATGGAGCTTGAGAATATTGTGCTAAGTGAAAGAAGTCACATTCAAAATGACAAATGTAATTTACTCATTTGTGGAATATAAAACAAAAAGCAACAAACAAAAAAAGCCATACTCATAGATAAAGACAACAGAATGGTAGTTATCAGAGGTGATAGGGGTGGGTAGATGACACAGAGGGTAAAGGGGGACAAATATATGGTGATGGAAGGTGGCTAGACTTTGGGTGGTGAGCACGCCATAGAGTATACAGATAGAAAGTTGTACACTCAAAATTTATATAATGTTATTAACCAGTGTTACCCCAATTAATATTTTAAAAAAACATAGTGACAGCCAAAATGAGGAAACAGAGAAACTTGTCCAAAATGAAAGAACAGGACAAAATCCCAGGAAAAGAACTAAATAAAACAGAGACAAGCAATCTATCAGATAAAGAGAACTTCAACAGACAGAAAATATTTTTTAAACATCTATTAGAACTGAAGAATATAATAACCATAATGAAAACTATACTAGAGCAAATAAATATCAGATCTGATGAAACAGAGGACTAAATCAGCTATCTGGTAGACAAGTAATAGAAAACACGCAATCGCAAGATCATAAAGAAAAAAATTTTTTAAAAGTTAAGATGTTCAAGGGGCCTCTGGAACAACATCAAGCACACCAACATTCACATTATAGGGGTCCCAGAAGAAGAGGGGAGAGAGAAAGGGATTGAAAACCTACTTGAAGTAGTGACTGAAAAGTTCCCTAACCTGGTGAAGGAAATAGACATACAAGTCCAAGAAGCACAAACGACCCATACAAGATGATCCCAAAGTAGCCCACACAAAGATACATCATGATTAAACTGCCAAAGGTTAAACACAAAGAGAATCTTAAAAGTATCAAGAGAAATGCAAGAGTTACATGAAGGAAGCTCCCATAGGAAACCAGCAGGTTTTTCAACAAACTTTTCAGGCCAGAAGAAAATGGCACAAAATATTCGAAGTGATGCAAGGGGTAAAATTTACAACCAACATTATTCTACCCAGCAAGGTTATAATTTAGACTAGAATGAGAGATAGTTTCCCAGACAAGTAAAAAGCTACAGGAGTTCATCACCACTAAACCAGCATTACAAGAAATGTTAACAGAACTTTTTTAAGTACAAAAGAAAAGGCCGAAACTAAAAATAAGAAAATGTGGGAAATGAAAAATCTCCAAGGCAAATACCTAGGAAAGGTAGTGAATCAACCAATTATAAAGTTAGTATGAAGATTAAAGGCAAAAGTAGGAAAATTATATATAAATACAATAATAAATTACAGGATGCACACAAACACACAAGAGGTAAAAAACAACAAAATGATAAATGTAGGATATAAAAAAAATGTTATTTTAGACTATGTTCTGAAAGCAACCATCAACTTAAAGGAGACTTCTATGAACATATGCTGTTATATATGAAGCACATGGTAACCGTAAACCAAAAATCTGAGACATACAAGAAAAAGAGAATGGAATTCAAACATAACACCAGAGAAAGTCATTAATATGTAAGAGAAGAGAGCAGAAGAAAAAAGGAACAGAGAAGACCCATAAAAACAATAAAAAAAATAATAAAATGTCAATAACTACATGCCTATTAATAGTTACTTTAAATGTAAATTGACTAAATGCCCCAATCAAAAAACACTGAGTAGCTGAATAGATAAAATACTAAGACCTGCATACATGTGGCCTATAACTTAGATTAAAAGATACAGAGAGATAAAATGAAGAAATGTTAAAAGATATTTCATGCAAAAGGAAAAAAAAAAGACTAAGGTTGTAACAAAGGACAAAGAAGAACAGTTTATAATGATAAAGGAGTCAATTCAACAAGAAGGCATAACTCTTGTAAACATCTGCACACCCAATGTAGGTGCGCCTAAATATATAATGCAAATATTGCCAGATATAAGGGGAGAGATAGTTTAATGAAATAATAGTAAGGGATATTAACACCCCCCTTACATCAATGAATATATCATCCAACAGAAAATCAATGAGGAAAGTGACCTTAAGTGAAACATTAGAACAGATGAACTTTAGATACTTATAGGACATTTTATTTAAAAAACAGCAGAATATACATTATTTTCAAGTGCAGTGGAACATTTTCCAGGATAGATCATGCTAGGCCACAAAATAAGTCTCAATAAATTTAAAAGCTAGAAATCTCAAGTGTCTCCTCTGATCAAAACAGGATAAAATTAGAAATCAATTACAAGCCCTGGCCAGGTAGATCAGTTGGTTACAGTGTTGTCCCAATATACCAAGTTGCAGGTTCAGTCTCCAGTAAGGGCACATACAAGGAGCAACCAATGAATGCATAAATAAGTGGAAAAACATCGATATTTTACTCTATATGTATATATCTTCTCTTTTTTCCCTAAATATCAATCATTAGAAATCAATTACAAGAAGGAAATACAAAAAAAACCCACAAACACATGGAATCTAAACAACATGCTACTAAGTAATGAATGAGTTAACGATGAAATCAAGTAGAAATCAAAAGATAGCTTGAAACAAGTGAGAATGCAAACACAATGACCCAACATCCATTGGACACAGCAAAAGCAGTTTTAAGAGAGCTTCATATACCTACCTAAATGCTGCATAAAGAAACAGGAAAAACTTCAATCTACCCTCACATCAAAGAAATAGAAAAAGAAAAACAAAGCCCAAAGGAGTAGAAGGGAAGAAATAATAAAAATCAGGGAGGAAATAAATGAGTGACTAAAAAAAGAAAAAGGTTAATGAAACCAAGAGCTGGTTCTTTGAAAAGATAAACAAAATTGATAAACCTTTCACCAAACTTACCGAGAGAGAGATGGCCCAAATAAAATCAGAAATGAAAGAAATGACGAGAAATACAAAGGATTATAAGAAAATTCTAAAAACAATTACATGCTGATACATTGGACAATCTAGAAGAAATGGATAAATTCCTAGAAACATACAATCTTAGTACTTGAATCAGGAAGAAATAGAAAATCTGAATAGACCAATTACTGATAAAAAGCTGAATCACTAATCAAAAAACAAAAGTTCTGGACCAGATGGCTTCCCAAGTGAATTCTACCAAATGTTCAAAGAATAATTAACGCCTGCCCTCAAACTCTTCCAAAAAACTAAAGAAGAAGGAAAGCTCCCAAACTCATTTTATTAGGCCAGCATTACCCTGATACAAAAACCAAACAAAGACACCACAAAAAAAGGAAAATTACAGGCCAATATCCCTGATGAACATAGGTGCAAAAACACTCAACAAATGTTAGCAAATCAAAGTCAGCAATACATTAAAAAGACCATACACCATGATCAACTGAGATGCAAGATTGGTTCAGTATTCACAAACTAACATGATATATAAACAAAATGAAGGATAAGAATCATATGATCATATTGATACAGAAAAAACATTTGACAGAATTCAATATCCATCCATGATAAAAAATTTATGTTGAAAAATACCTCAACATAATACAGGCCACATATGACAAACTACAACTGACATACTCAAGAGGGAAAAGCTAAAAGCTTTTTCTTTAAGGTCAGAAACAAAACAAGGATGTCCACTCTCACCACTATTATTTGACACAGTATTGCAAGTCCTAGCCACACAATCAGACCAGAAAAAGAAATAAGAGGCATCGAAAATGGAAGGAATAAAACTCATTATTTATAGAATGCTATGATCCTATGTATAGAGAACCCTAAAGAATCCACCAAAAAATCTATTAAAACTAGTAAGTTAATTCAGTGAAATCACAGGATACAAAATTAGGAAGAAGTCAGATATATCTTTATACACCAATAACTATCAAAGAGAAGTTAAGAAAACAATCCCATTTATAATTGTACCAAAAAGAATAAATATCTAGGAATAAATTTAACCAAGGATGTAAAAGACCTGTACACAAAAAATTATAAGACGTTGCTTGAAGAAGTTTAAGAAACGAATGGAAGCATATACCATGCTCATGAATAGTAATAACTTGGGTTAATAGGAATCATTAAAATGTTCGTATTACCCAAAGAAATATACAGATTCTATGCAATCCTCACCAAAATACCAATGGCATTTTTCACAGAACTAGAAGAAAAACATCCCAAAATTTACAAGGGTCCAAAACAGACCCCAAATAACCAAAGCAATACTGAGAAAAAAGAACAAATTTGAAGGTATCACATTACCTGATATCAAACTGTACTACAAGTGTAATGATCAAATAGCATGATAATGGCATAAAAACAGACACATAGATTAATGGAATAGAATAGAGAGCCCAGAAATGACCATATGCTATATGGTCAATTAACATACAACAGAGAAGGCAAGAATTTACACTGGAATAAAGACAGTCTTTTCAACAAATTATGATGGAAACTGGACAGATGTAAAAAATGAAACGACTACTTTCTTACACCATATACAATAATAAAATGGATTGAAGATCTAAATGTAACACCTCAAACCATAAAACTCCTAGAAGAAAACACAGGCAGTAAACTCTTTGACACTGATCTTAGCAATATTTTTTAGCTATGCCTCCTACAGCAGACCACCACAACAAAAATAAACAAATAGGACTACATCAAATTAATAAGCTTCTGCATTGCAAACAAAACCATCAACAAAAGGGCAGCCCACTGAATGGCAGAAGATATTTGCAAATTAATATTTGATGATAAGGGGTTAATACCCACAATATATAAAGAACTCATACATCTTAACATCAAAAAATAAATAATCTCACTTAGGGAAGGGTCAAGTCAAGGAACATACATAAAGAACCCATGGACAAAGCCACCGGGGGAGGAGGACTGAATGTGAGAAACGGGGAGAGGGTAGGACAGGGGAGCGTAACGGGGGGAACATGGGGACAACTGTAATTGAACAACAGTAAAAAAAAAAAAAAGAAATAATCTCATTTAAAAATGGGCAGAGGACATATATAGACAGTTCTCCAAAGAGGACATACAGATAGACGGCCAATAGACACATGAAATGATGCTCACCATCGCTAATCATAAAGGAAGTGCAAAGGTAAATCACAATGAGACACCATCTCACACCTGTCAGAATGGCTATTACCAAATCAGCAAACAAGTGCTGGCGAGTCTGTGGAGAAAATGGAACACTGGTGCACTGTTAGCGGGAATGCAGACGGGCAGCCACTGCGGAAAGCAGCATGGAGGCTCCTCAGAAAACTAAAAATAGACCTAATGACCCAGCAATTACACTTCCTAGTATTTATTCAAAGAAACACAAAACAATAATTCAAAAAAGATATATGCACCCTCATGTTCATTGCAGCATTATTTAAAATAGCCAAGTTGGAAGCAACCTAAACATCCATCAATAACAAATAAAGATTTTTTACATATATATAATGGAATACTATTCAGTCATAAAATCTTGCCATTTGCAACAACATGGATGGTCCTAGAAAGTACTATGCTAAGTGACATTAAGTTGGAGAAAGACAAAATACCATATTATTTCACTTACATGTAGAATCTAAAAAACTAAATAAAACAGCAAACCCACAGATATACAGAACAAACTGATGTTTGCCAGATGAGAGGAAGATTGGGAGGATGGGTAAAAAATGTAAAAGGGATTAAAAAGTATGAATTGCCAGTTATAAAAATAGTCATGAGACCATGATGAACATACAGCATAGGGAATAATACAATAATATCGTAATAACTATCTATGTTGTCAGATAGGTACTAGACCCATTTTGGTGATCACTGTATAAGTTATAGAAATGTCTGATCACCATGTTGTACACCTGAAACTAATACTGTATGTCAACTGTAATTGAAAAATAATTTCTTTTAAAATGCCATACATAATTGGACTTATTTTGATCAGTTCGTCTAGCACAAAATGGAGTTGAGACTTGATGGGCAAAGTCTGGATAAATAATGTGCTGAACTGGGAGTCCTGATTTTTCTCTAGTTTCCAGGTAAAAATCAATTACAAATGTCAAGCCTTGTTAGGCCGTTAAAAATATTGCTTCCCACTTTCCGTACTTAAGGTGATGTTCATAACATATGCCACATCTTTCCTCACATAAGAAAACTTTAAATTTCCTTTTCAAGTAGAAACTTTAATCAATCTAACATAATCTAATCATAAATCAAATAGCTACACATTTAAACAAGTCAAGGAAAAGAGGTCTAGACATTCACCAAGGTAATGCATTGCTAAATATGTCTAGACAACCTAATAGTGACTGAATGACTCCTTGGCCTGTAATTCAGCTCTTCAAGATTGATTCCTATTACTGGTATATAAAATTATGTCATCACAAATACTCTATTCAGATTTAGAGTCTGTCTTAAGATACTTAGAATTTCACTTGGTTAAAAAAAGGAAAAATATATAACCAAAACTAATTGTTTAACCTACTTTTTGAAATGAAATGTGGTATTGAAATTTGAATAAAATCCAACTATAACAGCAACATTGGATCAGAAGCCAAGTTGTAATGATAACCCAGAAGAAGGTTTAACATGATTTAAGAAAACCTATTCCTACCTAGGGAATTATAGACACCATTCAGGAAAAACTTAGTATAGGGCAGGGGTAAGGGGAAGGGTACCAAACTGGAAGCTACAAGAAATGTCAGACATAGGAGACAAAATTCTTCCTCTCAAAGAGTTTATCACCTATTAGAGAACACAAGATACATGTGTGAAATGACCACAGGCCATCTGCTGAGTGGAGGTGAGGCCGGGGAGAGGGAAAGAGGCGAAGAACTGACAACCATGGCTTCAGCCATTAAAAAAAAAAAAAAAAAAAGAAGAAGAAGAAATCTTGTCATCTGAGACAGCATGACTAAGTAAGTATTATGTTAAGTGAAATAAGTCAGACAAGACAAATACTGTTTAATTTCACTTATATGTGGAATCTAAAAAACAAAACAAACTCACAGTTACAGAGGACTGATGTTTACCAGAGAATTGGGGGCTGGGTGGAAAAGGGGAAGGGGATTAAGTAATACAAACTTGGGCAATTATAAAATAAGTCACGGGTTGTAATGTGCAGCTTAGGGAATAGAGTCAGTAATATTATGTATGGTGACAAATAGTAGTATGGCAATCACTCTGTAAAGTATACAAATGTTGAATCACTGTGTTGTATACCTGAAACTAACACTATGTCAACTATAATTTAAAAGAATTTTTTTCAAATTGGAGGAAAATAATTGCTAAATCACTAAATGTTAATCCCCTCCTTGGCAAATAAGCAGATTTATAGACTCATGTCCTCATTGCTCATTCAATATTTTGTTTACTGTGCAGAGCTGCTTCCTCCTCTAACTGTGACTTCATGCTGTGCTTCTTTGTATAGAGGGAAGTATGTCAGGAAAGACACATTGAGTCAGCTAAGCGGTACCGAAAATAGTAATCTAATCATCAAAACATTTAGTGAACAATTATTACTAGATGGCTTTTGTCAGTAAGCAAGAGAGCAAGTCACTCTTTTCTTACCTTCAGCAAGAACACACAAAGGATAAATTGGCATCCATAGCGTTTGACTGAGCCACGTGAGGACATCATAGGATATTCCTATGACTGATAACATGCTATAAGTGTACCTAAAAGGAGACAAGGAACATATAAGCATCATTTACTGCTGATGTCTGAAAAATAAGAGAATGAAATACTTTACTCTGTAATTGCACAAATAAAGTTGGAATGTTTACAGATTCCATACTTTATCTCCTATAATTTAAGCAGAAGTTTAAAACATGGGGAGAAGGGGAACCATGTCAATCTGACTTGTCTCATGAGGTGGATCACAGATAATCAAAATCTCCTTGATTAGTGACTTCCATTTCACTCAGAAGCCAAGCCCATTTTATGCAACAAGCAGCTAGGGGTTTTTTTGTTTGTTTTGTTTGTTTCTCTTTTTTAATGACAAATAAAACTTGTAAATATCTAGGGAGTGAATTTTAAAAATAACATGTCTTCCAAATCCTATTGGCATCCCTCTGCTTATGGAGTTATGCCATCTTCTGTGATAAATTGAAGAACTGTGCTGAGGAGCTTGTTTGGGTTATAGCAGGTAGTTGAAAACCTGCTTTTGTGATGCAACAGATGAAATAGGCTATGTCTTTTTACTTCTCTGTTCTCTGAATAGGCCAGTTGTTCTCCAGTTTAGGCAAATAGCCGAATCACCCAGAAGGCTTTCAACAACACAAATTGCTAGGCCCTATTCCCAAAGTGTCTGGCCCAATGGGTCCAAGATGGAGCCTGAGAATTTGTATTACAAATTCCAGGTGATGCTGACGCCACTGGTCCAGCAGCCATACTTTGAGAACTACAGGAATAGGCAGTGAATACATATGGCAAAACAAAATCCAAAATCTTGAAAACACAATGGTGCAAAGTGAATCTTTCTCTTATTCCAGAACCCTAATTCCACTCCCCAAAGGCAATGACCAATGCCAATTTCTTATGTAGTCTCGCAGAAATATTTTTTGCATTTGCTTATCTGTGTGTATATTTATTATATATACTATATACCAACCTTGCAAACTCTCCCTAAACATGGCATGTTAACGAAATTTTTGATCTGTACCAATCTAAGTAAAAAAAAAATGGCATCTCACTATCTTTTTTTTTATTACAAGAGCAGGTATATTTAAAAGCCACTTTAAGTCCAATCGATCATTTTTCTTTTGTTATTTGTGATTTTGGTGTCATATCTAAGAATCCATTACCAAATCAAGATCATGAAGATTTATTCCTATGTTTTCTTCTATGGGTTTTTATAGTTTTAGCTCATACATTTAGTTGTTTATCTATTTTGAGTTAATTTTTGTATATGGCATGAGGTAAGGGTCCACCTTCATCCTTTTGCGTGTGGATATACATTTGTCCCAGACCACTGAAAGGTCTTGGCATCCTTATCAAAAATCAATTGACCATGAATATGAGAGTTATCTCTGTACCATCAATTCTATTCCACGATATATCCTTATGCCAGTATCACACTGTTAATTATTGTTGCTTTGCGGTAAGTTTTAAAATTGGAAAATGTGAACCTTCCAATTACATTCTTTTTCAAGATTATTTTGGCTATGGTAGATTCCTTGAGTTTCCATATTAGTTCTAGGAACAGCTTTTCAATTTCTGAAAAGGAGCCAGCTGGAATTCTGATACAGACTGCACTGAATCTTTAGATTTACTGGGGAAGTCTTAACAATACTAAATTTTCAACCCATAGACATTGGCTAGCTTTTCATTTATTTTAATCTTCTTTAGTTTCTCTTAACAGTTTTATAGTTTTTGGTGTCTGAATTCTGTACATCCTTTGTTAAACTTACTCCTTTTTTGATGCTATTGTAAATGGAATTATTTTCTTAATTTTACTTTAGGTCATTGCAAGTATACAGAATATAATTGATTTTTGTATATTGATTTTGTATTTTATAAACTTGTTGAACTAGTTCATTAGTTTTAGTATTTGTAGTGGATTCCTTATGATTTTTTATGTATAAGAAAGATCATGTCATCTACCAATAAAGACAATTTCACTCCTTCCTTTCCAGTATGGATGTCTTTTACATCACTTTCTTGCCTAATTGCCATGGCTAGAACAATGGTGAATAGAAGTGGCGAGCATAGTCTTGTCTGTCTCGTTCCTGATCTCGGGAGGAAAGCATCAGTTTTTCATCATTCACCATCAAGTTAGCTGTAATTTTTTTGTAGATGCCTTTATCAGGTTGAGGAAGTTCCCTGATCTTTGCTTTTTAAAAAGTCATCCTAGGGTAAATTTGGAAGATAATTGTATTCCCATTTTATAGAAGAAAAAAATTAGTTTTAAAAAGGTTAGATACTCTGGAATTTTACTCCTACATTAAGAGAAATGAAAATATGTGCACACAAAAGTTTGCACATGGATATTCATAGCAGTGTTCCTCATAACCAAAAAGTAGAAACAACTCAAATGGAAAAGTGCAGTATATCAATATAAGGGAATATTATTCAGCCACAAAAAAAAATGAAGTACTTAGAGATGTTACAACATGGATAAACCTTGAAAACATTATGCTAAGTGAAAGAAGCCTGTCACGAAAGGCCACATATTGTATGACTCCATTTATATGAAATCTCTAGAGCAGGCAAATCCACAGAGACAGTGCATTAGTGGCTGCAAGGAGCTGGGAGAAGGAGGGAATGGGAGGTGACTACTAATGGGTTTGGAGTTTCTTTTAGGGGTGATAAAAATGTTCTCAAATTAGATAGTGGCAATGGTTGCACACATCTTTGAATACATTAAAAACCAAATTTTATACTTTAAAAGGGAAAATTTCAATGTATGCGAATTATCTCAATGCTGTTATTTTTTTTTTTTAAAGGTAAGTGACTAGCTAGTAATAGTGGAGGTGGGGTTCATCCTGTGATCTCTGATCTCCTTCTGCATCCACAAGTCTTTAGATGACACCATGATACCACTCTTAATGCACAAATCACTTCACTCTGTTATGGGTCTAACTGAGTTTATCTGAACCTGAACTGACTCGGAAAGAGTCAGGCATGCCAGAGAATAATACATAGAAAGCCACCGTCCCAAGAGAGGCTCTGTGTCTCATGAACAGGAAGTCGTGGGCTACAAAAATCTATGAAAGTTTGTCCAAGTCTACAAAACTATCAGTTAAAAATGAGAAATAATATACTAAGTTCCACATACAACTTATATGACAACTTATAGTCTTTGAATTCAACAAAATTTTTTAATTCACTCTAGGGTTCAACCCATTATTTAGAAATATTTTAACTCAGCTAAGTTATTGACGATGTAATAAAAAATGTATATAACCTCAGCTAATTTGTTACCCATCCACATCCAGATCTTTCAAGCGAGAGGCGCAGTTCTCACTTGGAAAGCTGAAGTAGCAGTTAGGACAACTCTTCAAAGTGAGCCATGGAGCAAAGCAGGCTGTCTTATGCCACCACTGGTGGAGATAAGACTAGGCTCATCTCCTTGCAAAGTTTTGGAATTAGAGGGAAATTAGAGAGAAAGTGGAGATGATCTACTAGAGTAGATGCAAGCAAGGGTTCTAACTGGGATTCCCAGGGAGTCCATGAAAGAACTTCAGTCAGGCATTTGAATGCACTGGAATTGCATACAAAAATGTATGTGGAGGTACATTTTTTTCTGAGGGAGATGAGGGCCCTATGTTTAAAATATTCTTGAATTCATAGAAACCAACTTTGTAAGTTCTGACTATAATACTATACAAAGTCTTGCTTTGCTTATTAGAGTAACATACCAGAGCAATAGCAAGGAATGCCTTTCATTAACAAACAGCTGTGAGGTTTACTCCAAATTGTTGTTATGCCAAGTCTTCTGCTAGATACCTGCACTGATTTGCTGTTGTAATACCATGGTAGATTTTCATTATCTTCAATATATCCATTATGGAAAGCACTAAAAATACATTTTCACATAAAGATAAAATAATTTGAAAAAGGTTTATTTTTTTCTTTCATTCCAAGTAACCAAACATAAGCAGATATTACCAGTTTCACTGAAGAAAGCAATTTGGCTTTGTTTTAAGAGGTTATTTTGTCTCCTTACCTAACCATATCCAATAGATTCCAAAAGATGAATAAAACACACACCACATATTTCTCTTGGACTTCCTCTTGACTGGTGATCACCACAAAAAGGATGATTATTCTTTCTGTGAGCTAATAACAATAAAAACAGCAAAGTCAACAATTAGGATCATCAGTTAGGTATGTAGGCATTTTTCTAATTAAAAAACCAGAGTCCCTCTTAAATGTATGCTTTAGCTAGAAATACATATCCTAAACTTAAAATGATCTCTGACAGAGTAGGGTTATAGGTGAGTTTCATTTCCTCCTCCTTTTTTGTATTCTCCAACACATATAATGGTTGAAAACATAACATATTTCATCTGAATCAGGATAGTTCCCTTCTTGTAAGACATACATTTTTATTCACTTTGGCAAGATTTTATTGCGTAACTGCTTTATATTAGATGTTGAGATTATGAAAGCGTGGTCCTTGTGCCAGAGGGTAGCAGCAGCAAGAGAATGTGAGACAGTAACTGTAACACAGTGTGAATAATGCTGTCACTTAAAGCGTTACTTCCAGGTGCAGGAGATACCTGGCTGGGGAAAGAATGCAGAGTGACTTATGAAGATAGGCAACATTTCAGTTAGATCTTGAAGAACAGATAGAAGTTCATGAGGCAGACTGGATAAGAAAAGAGCCATCCTAGGCCAAGGGAGCAGCCTCAACAAAGAGTCAAAGATGTGGAAACAGGGTGTGCGGGGGAGTAATGAGGACCCCCGGGGACTAGAGTAGGGCACACGGAGGGAGTAACAGGAGATAAAACTGAAAACGTCTTGGGGGCTGGGTTGTAAAGGGTATTGAATGACAGGCCAATACAATTCGATTTCATCCAACAAGGAAGCCATCGTAGCTTTATTTTATTTTTTTTTTTAGCAAGGGGGAAAGGGAAAGTAATATAATCCTAACCTTCATAAGCTAGTGGCAAATGAAGAATTGAACATATTCATTTTTTTCAAGTCAGTGTTTACAAATTATTGAGAGCTCACACAAGTATGGCTTAGTTCTAATTACTGACTTCAAAAAATACATTCCTCTTTCCCAATCTAAGTATAATGTGCCTTCTGATGTTGTATTTATATCCCCTATACAGTCTGCATTTTTATGTTTTTAACAGAACATTTTACTTTTCTTTCAATGGAGATTGAGGAAGCATATTAGTGATAGAAGAAAGGGGAAGGTTGCTTTATATTTTTCAATCGCTGTCTTTGTTTTTAAAGCAGATCAAGGAGAAAATACTGGGGTAATCTATGATTTAGAATCATAGGCTGTTAGTCCTGGAAAATCACTTAGTGCAGAGAAATCCAAGATTTGCCAACAGTGGGCCACATGATCAGAAATCCGCAAGTCTAAGCTCTGTCAGCATGTTTGTGACTACAGAAGTGAGTCAAGAGGGTCCCTGCTTAGCTACAGGAATTTGATATGATTCAAACCTTAGTCAAATGTGGAAGCTATCTACTGTTTGGGTTTTTTTTTTTTGGACGAATGCGCGAGTTTATTCCACCAGTCTGGGTCCGTGATATGAGTACACGGAGGGGGGCCCCGGGCTGGGACAAGGGAGGGGCACGGATGTCCCAGCAGCTATTTTTCTGTTCTGACACGCTCCCACCGCGACCGTCTGTGAGGGCCCAGGCGCTCGGTGCCAGGAGCCGGCCGAGGGAGCAGAGAATGAGGAGACCGGCGAGGGACGAGCCCGCGGGCACGCGGGGGCTTGGCATCTCGTCCCGCCCTGGGGCTCCGACTCACAGGGGAGGGGCCAAGGCCCAGAGGGGCAGGGGCTGGGATGTCACTAACTGTGGGACGCGGGCCGAGGCCTTTCTCTGCTCGACCCTCGAAACCCCCTCACGCTCCAGCAGCCTGCGTGGCTGTGGGGCGAGGGCTGTTTTCCCGAGGACGACGCTCAGCCGGGGGAGGCGGGCTGGGCGTTGGCCCCACGGGCTCCCGCAGCTGCCTCCCCCAGCCCGGCTGCCCGCATGCGACCTTGAACGAGTCCCCAGATCTCCTCCAGCGGGTCTGGGGACCTGCAGTGTCCGCGAGAGGTTGTCTCTGGGCGGCGGCTCACGTGCGGCGCTGGCCCAGGGGCCTGGCCCCACAAACAGCCAGGCAGGCGATGTCCTCGTCCTTGTCGCCACCTGAGCCACAGCGGAACTCCCGGTAGACCTGCTCCCAGTGGGCGTGCAGGACAGCACAGCCCAGCGCTGCCACCCTGCACGGGGCAGGGACCCAGGCCCTCATGCATGTCCCGGGGATGCCTGGGCCGCCCCACTGGGGAGGGGCCCCAGGCCCTTCGCACGAGGGAGAAGTGACTTGGCCCTTCCCCCACCCACCTCACGAGCCAGGCACCCACATGAAAAGGTGGGCGAACGCCTGCCTTTGTCGCCTGATGCCATTAAGGCCGGAGTTTCTCATGGGAAAAGTAACGTTTGGGCTGCAGGAAAGGCGGGGGGCGCAGTGCGGCCTGGCGGTTCCGGGGCGACCGACCCGGGGCTGTTTGAAGTCCACCGTTATCGGACTTTTGTTTCTTAATTTAACTGTAGTTCTACAATGAATTACACTTAACTGCCGAGATAGTTAGAGAAGGATCCAAGATTGCTGCCATGACACCTCGCAGCCTTCAGATATAAGATCTTAGCAGCAAACAACAATTTAGGAACTACCTAATCCTACATTTCATGACTGCTTGCCAATTAGGAAAATCATCCATTTTTTTTTAGAATTTCAAGACACGCACACACAAATACATATACAAAACACCTATTTCTAATTACATAGTTGGCTACTGAAAGAAAAATCTCAGATACCCCTTGATAAGACGGATCTCTAGTATTCCTCTCCAGATACTAATCCAACCCCACCTTTTTACAAATAAGGAATTTGGGAACCAGACAAGTGAAGTGACTTGCCCAAACTAGTGGCAGACCTGAAAATATATATACCCCAAGTTTCCTGGTTTCCAGAGCTGTAAGCTACCCACCATGTCGAGCTGTCCATAACATAACTAATGAGTACATAGAAGAAAATATCTCCAAAAGGAGAAACTGGAGTTGCACAATGAAATTCATCCTGTTGAAAATCATCACTTGAGGGTCTCTGGCATGTTAGTGATAGAATCGAATTTCACAGAAATCAGCAATCAACATGCCCCCCCCTCAAAAAAACACACAATCATGTACATACATGTGCGTATGTAAAGATCCCCGCCCCCGACAATGTCAGTCTAATTAACAAATCATCCGTTGGTTATCTAACTCTAACTTGACTGTTCAAAGGCAATACAATGGGGGAATTTAGGTGGAGATACTCTCAAAGTAATAAAAGTCAGTATATATTGGTTACTTTATGCCAGATTCCAATTATATATCACTCATTTAATCTCCCTAAGAACCCTAAAAGTAAGTGCTTTTATTATCTGCTTCTGCATTTCATAAAGTGACAGTGACCTGCCTAAAGACCTGGAATCAAAATCTAGGCAATGTCCCTTGTTCTGAATCCCTTGTTCTGAAACACTAAGACATGTTCATCTTTGTTCTTTGGTGGCTACCCCTGTGCCTATTATCCAGGTTATAGTCTATTCTTTTAAAAAGTTTCTCCTCAAAAGTTAAACCTTAAAACAAGAACCTCCTTAATATTCTAAATCAATACCAAAACAATTTTATATCTTTTTAACTTTTCTTTACCTATAATAGTTTCACCAGTCATTTGGAGATTTACATTTGGGAGAACTTAGCACTTTGTCATTTTAAACAAACCCTATGAAGACATGACTAATTACTAATGAATGTCTTGTAATGTTTAGTGCTACTCAAACAGAATAAACATACAGTAAAAAATTCTATAACTTAGCCCAAATTAAACATGGTGGTAATGTGGTGTGCTCCAAAGTATGGTAACTATAAAATAAAAATACTTCACATTTTAATCTTCTGTTTGGGAATCCTAAACTCCATGTTAAGCAATGACTAAAGCTAAGTTGTTACCTTATACGTGGGAGCTAGCACTTTAGTTATAAACTGTTGAAGGGGGTAAAATGATACTTCAACTATATGGAGAATTTCTAGAATCTTTAAATAAATTAGTTTTAGCCTCAAAGACTATTTTACTCTTTCAATGCTGTGAACTTTTGAGAACTTCAGAAACATACCCCTGTATGGTCACAAACCACCAATTACTTTCTTCTATAAGACAAAAGCATTTAAATAATTATAGTGTTAAATTTTTGGTTTCCTCCCTCATCACTCAATAGATATTTATTAAGTGGACAGTTCTGGGTCCTGTGGTGTAAAGCTATGAACAAGACCAAGTCCCAGTAGCCCTCATAGTATTTACATCCTACTTGGGGAGATAGTTGAGAGTTCAGGACAAATAGCCCAAATCCAAATTTTTCCTGCACCAATCACAATTTATGTGGCCTTGGGTAATTTATTTAATTTTTGTGCTCAGTGATTATACTGAAAATAATAATTAGTATTATAAATATATAGGATGAAGTTATGAAGATTACATGTGTTTATGTGAAGAACTTAGAAAAGTATTTGGTGGCACATAGAAAGCCCTAAATAAATGTAAGCTATTATTTAAAAAAAAAAAACAAAAACAAAAACATAATTTAATGTAGGGATTAGTGTTTAATAAAAAAATATACTTTTTCCCTATAGATAGGCAAGACTATCACTGAATAAAAAATTAATCTCAGTATCTTTAAAAGTATACTGTGAATATAGCTTTATAATTATCACACTGAAGAACTCCATGACTCAAAAGCAAAATATAGAGGAAAGTCTAAAATCTTACCTACAGGGTGAACTGTGTGTATAATTCATTTCCAGGAGGCTTTGAAATTTTGAAAATCTCATAGCTTGACACTATCTTTAGATTTATTTCTAACAATATAAACCACCTGTCCCCAATTCAAAACTGGAGAGAAAATCTACATGATTTTATGGAAAATCAGATTATTTAATCTGGCAATGCAAAGAAGTACCTGCTTCACAGCTAAAAAGAAATTAAGGTGACAGCTGTTTTACTAAAAGGGTTCATTTTAAAATACTCTCCTTTGGAATTTCCTTTATGTTTGTGCTCATAAAAATCTGTA